TGGTGCCTCTCCAGGCAGAGCAGGCCAAGCCAGGGTTCTGTGGGGTCTGCGAGGGGAGCAGGTGTGTCTCCCCTGATTTAGAGCTTGTACACCCCATCCATCAGAAGCCTGTTTCTGGCTGAGTGCTGGTCTAATGGGCAGAAGGTGGAAATGGCCTCCTGATGATAAATGCCCCTGACAGGCTTTTAGCAGCTCAGTCAATACCCCACCAGGCTGGCTAATGTCCGCTCCTGCCTGTGGTCCTCAATGTAAAACGCTTTTAGAAGCAGAGCAATCTGCCAGCCCAGGGCAGGTCAGGAGAGGTGGGGCAGAGAGGAGGGGTGAGGTGGTATGATCCAGCACCTTCCCTCATCAGCTGAGAAGGAAGAGAAGGCTGAGAAGGAAGAGAAGCTGTCTAGGGCTAGGCCCTCTGAGCCACGCCTAACCCTAAGGCACCTTCCCGGAGTCTGTGGGAGGCAGGAGGTGTGGGTCTGAATGAGGCTCCTGGGCAGCTTGCCTCCCGTCAGCCCGAGGGCAGCCTGAGAGTCAGCTCTTCTGGCTTTTCTTGAGAAACCTCACTGCAGAAATTGGGGCATGGCCCTGGGCCAGAGTCTAGAGATAAAGGCCCTGAGAGCAATCAGTGCGCCACAGTCAAAGACACAGTACTGCTCTTGGCCTTTGACCCAGGAAATGATCCAAGAGAAAGGAAAGGCTGTGTGCAGGAAGGAGACCAGGGCACGGACTCACAGAGCACTGGTGCTCTCCCAGAGCACGGGAAGTACAGCACCAGGCTCACACTTCCCAGCTCTGCCCCTCACCTTTGCAGTGACCCTGGGCAGGTCCCTGCTGCATGCTGGGTTTCCCCAAGTCTGAGGTCCAAGAGAGGCTGCTGGGATCCATTCGCGATGCCTGCCACAGGTGCAGGATAAGACAGTGCAGCTGTGGGTGCCATTCCTGGTCTCTAGAGACCTTCAGGAACTACAGTTTTATAACAGAAGTTTTTGGCTAATCCTGGATGGACCAATTTTTTCAGAAAATCTGTATTTTTGTTTGTAAACACTTTTTTAAATTGCAAAATTTACATAGCTAAAAAAAAAAGACAACGATATTAAAGCCAGCCATTTATTCCACCGTCTAGATATAACCATGATTAACATTTTGGCTCATTCCTTTTAGTTTTTTTTCTCAGTTTTGACATACAAATATACATACGTATACATATAATAATAGCTTCTGTTGCTGAGCATTTATAGTAACACCTGACTGTTGGGCTCTTCATGCATAGTATCTCATTTAACTCTCAACAATCCTGCAAGGAAGAGATTATTATTCATTCACATTTTACAGATGAGGAAAAAGAGGCTTGCAAATTTTGAGCAGGTGCACAACACAGTCAGGTTTTAATTTTTGAAAACTCACCTTGAGGACAGTGTACAGGATGTCCTGGAGGCTAAGCAAGAGGTCACTGGCAGCTGGGCGCAGTGGCTCAAGCCTGTAATCCCAGCACTTTGGGAGGCCAAGGCAGGCAGATCACCTGAGGTCAGGAATTCAAGACCAGCCTGGCCAACATGGCGAAACCCCGTCTCTACTAAAAAATACAAAAATTAGCCGGGCGTGGTGGCGCGCACCTGTAATCCCGGCTACTCAGGAGGCTGAGGCAGGGAGAATTGCTTGAACCTGAGAGGTGGAGGTTGCAGTGAGCTGAGATCGCACCACTACACCCCAGCCTGAGCAACAAGATGAGACTCCATGTCAAAAAAGAAAAAAAAAATGGTTAATGACTTAAGCGTTGGTCCCATGGAGACCTGGGCCAGGGCCTGTAGGTGCAGTGTCCTTCCAAGACCCTAGCTCCAGGTACCGCCCTGCCACGACAGGGCAGGAAGCATGTACCTCTCTCCTCTGTCCTGCTGTGGAGGAGGCAGAGACCGCTTGAAAGAAAGAAAATTTTCACCTGCCTCCATGTACATCACAAACGAAGGACACAAGTCCACATTCTTTCCCTTTTTTCCATTCTCTTTCTCCCTCTGAATGTGTAGGTGTGTGTACAATTTTTTGTTTTCAGAACCATTTGAGGGTAAGTTACATCCATCTTAGCCTTTTATCCCTAAATACTTCTGTGTTTCCTAAAAATACAAATATTCTCTTACATTACCCTAGTACATTATCAACTTCTATAAGTTTAATGTTGTGATAATACTTTAATCTACCGTTCTTATTCAGATTTGTTAAATAATGTCCTTTGTAGCAGTGTCCCCTCCAGTAGGGGATCCAGTCTAGGGGGAAGATTCTGATCACTTTTTCCTAAGGGGAGAGAGCTGGATTAGCCAGAGTATTTCCAGAGGAAGGCACAGGACCACCTCCTCTGTTTGCAGAGCTGCTAAAATGTGTGTACAGGCCAGGCATGGTGGCCCATACCTGTAATCCCACACTTTAGGAGGGCAGGGTGGGAAGATTGTTTGAGCCCAGGAGTTTGAGACCGGCCTGGGCAACATAGCAAGACCCCATCTCTACAAATAATTTTAAAAATTAGCTGAGCTCTGTGGCACGCCTGTAGTTCTAGCTTGGAACTTGGGAGGGTGAGGCGGGAAGATTGTTTTACCCTGAGTTCGAGGCTACAGTGAATCATGATTGCACCACTGCACTCAGCCTGGGCAACAGAGCGAGACCCTGTCTCTTTAAAAAAAAAAAAAAAAAGTACAGTGTTTTCTACACAGATGGGGAGGTGATGGAGGAAGAGAAGGTTGAGTGTTCCCTGAGTCCACCCTGTTCTTGAAAGTCCCGCTAGAAAAAGTCCTGAGACTATTGATTCTGCAAAGTCAAGGACTGTGTTGTGTGTTCACCTTGCAATCAGCCCCTCCAAGAGTACCTGTCTCCTGGGCACCTCGGGAATATTTGTGGGATGGATGGATGTTGGCCAGTTTTCTTCTCAGCTGTCTCTTTCACTTAGATATAAAAATGGTTGGGGGAGCATTCTGGTGGGTGGCTTAAGAACCTGGGACTAGATGGTGGATGTGGGCTGCATTGGCAAGCCGAGGGCCTGGGTTCTGGTCCCTCTTCTGCCAGGGCCATGCAATGTAATATGCAAAATGAGTGGATTGGTCGCTGCCAGTCCAAGGTTCTGTGACTGAACTGGTGTGGTTTCTCTATGACCTCAAGAAATCCAAGTCTGTTGGTGGAGTTGGAAATAGCTTCAGGGCTGTATGGCATGGGCTGGGGGACCTGTATGTCCCTCCCAGCATCTATATAGGATTCTCATTAGGAAAGGGGAAAATGAGGGAAAAGACCCTTCTATGTAATTGAGATAGAATTCACATACCAGAAAATTCGCCATTTTTGTTTTTTTGTATTTTGTTTAAGACAGGGTCCCCTTCTGCTGCCCAGGCTGGAGTGCAGGGGCACAATCACAGCTCACTGCAGCCTTGACCTCCCAGGCTCAAGCAATCCTCCCACCTCAGCCCTCCAAGTAGCTGGGACTACAGGCGTGCAACACCATGCCTGGCTCTTTATTTATGTATTTATTTTTGAGATGGAGTCTCACTCTGTTGCCCAGGTTGGAGTGTAGTGGCACGATCTCAGCACACCGCAACCTCTGCCTCCCAGGTTCAAGTGATTCTTCTGCCTCAGCCTCCCCATCCACCCACCTCGGCCTCCCAAAGTGCTGGGATTACAACCATGAAACACCATGCCAGGCCTAACTTTTTTATTTTTTGTAGAGACGGGATTATGCCGTGTTGCCATGTTGGAAAATTAACCATTTTTAAGTGTATAGTTCAGTGGATCTTAGTATATTCACAAGGCTATGAATATACTGTGAATAAACTGTCACATTTCAAAATCATTTCATCACTCCAAAAAGACACCCCTCACCCATTAGCAGTCACTCCCTATTGCCCCTTCTCCCAAGCCCAAGGCAACCGGAATCTGCCTTCTGTCTCCATGAATGTATTGTTCTGCATTTTTCATATGTGTTACTTAGGGTTCCGGATACCAGGTACCAGGGGGATGCATTAATGTGCTCAGGCAATGAAACCACATCTGGAACATCATCTAAGTGGAATCACACAACGTGTGGCCTTTTGTGCCTGGCCTCTTCTTCTAGTGTTTTCCAGGTTCATCCATGCTGTAGCAAGGACCAGGACTTCGTTCCTCTTTTTGGGGACAGTGGTATTCCGCTGCGTGAATGTACTGCATTTTGTATGTCCATCCTTCACTTGATGGGCATTTGGGTTGTTTCCACTTTTTGATATTATGAAGAATACTGTTGTGAACATTGGTGAACCAGTTTCTTTTCTTTTTTTTTTTTTTGAGACATAGTTTCACTCTTGTCACCCAGGCTGGAGTGCAATGGTGCAATCACAGCTCACTGCAACCTCCGCCTCCCAGGTTCAAGTGATTCTTCTGCCTCAGCCTCCTGAGTAGCTGGGATTACAGGTGCACGCCACCACGCCCCGCTACTTTTTGTGTTTTTAGTAGAGACGGGGTTTCACCATGTTGGCCAGGCTGGTCTTGAACTCCTGACCACAGGTGATCCACCCACCTTGGCCTCCCAAAGTGCTGGGATTAGGTGAGCCAGTTTCTTGTAGACTTATCTTTTCATTTTCCGTGGGGATAGACCTAGGAGTGAAATTGCTGGGTCATGTGGGAATTCCTTTTAACCTTTTGAGGAACAGCCAGACTATTTTCCAAAAGAGCTGCACCATTTTACATGCCCGCCAGCAGTGTATGAGGGGAAATGCCCTTTTATTGAACATCTGCCATGTGCTAGCTATTCCCTCCCATGATCCTCACACCAGCCTGTGAAATACCTGTGATTGCTCCCTTTTACTGAGGAGGACACCAGAGCTCAGAGAAGTGAAGTAACTCCCCCGGATCACACAGGGAATAAGAAGTAAGGCCTAGATTCACACCCAGCTCTGTCCCTTACATGTTCCTGTTGACTGGTTGCTGACTGACTACATGACTGTCCAGATGCTAATGTGGAATCCACCTCCTCCCCAACCCTTCTGGGCACTGTCTTGCAGACAGGGAAGTTGGACCCCCACTACCCAAAGGTCTGCGGGCACAGAGGGAACGTTCTGGACGTCAAGTGGAACCCTTTTGATGATTTTGAGATCGCCTCCTGTTCTGAAGACGCCACAGTGAGTGTCAGCCCCTCCTGAAGAGTGGGATTGGGGTGGGTGGGGTGGAACGGTACCTGTTCTTGGCTCTGGTGCCCCTGACTCCATCGCGGAGTTGAGGTCACTGTGTGGGGAGGTGTTAAGTTAGGTAGAGGAGGAGACATTCTAGGTGCTGTAGGACTATGGGCCTTAGTTCCCCGCCTATAAAATGGGCATAATAGCTCCACCCAGCTAATAAAGCCCAGTGAAAATGTGTATTCCGATGGGAAAGCCCATCCTTTTGGGGGGCTATAAAAGGCTACAAGGGGCATTTTTATGGTGATCAGAAAAGATGTTCCACTTAATCCCACAGTGAAGAAGCGAGCTGTAAAAGGCTGTGAGGGCCTTGGATGAATGTGGACACTAAAACCACTCCAGCAGCTTCAGTCTCACTCACTTTTTTGAGCCTGTGTTCTGTACCAGGGTTATCATTCCTACCCCAACAATGTGCAGTGTTACTTATTTATAGTTCATTTCGTACCCACTTTTAAAATATGATGGATATGGCTTAAGACAAGAACCACAGATGTGCCAGGTTCAGTGGCTCACACCTGTAATCCCAGCACTTTGGGAGGCTGAGGTGGGAGAATCACTTGAGGCCAGGAGTTGGAGACTAGCCTAGGCAACATAGTGAGACCCTGTCTCTACCAAAAAATTAAAAATCACAGATATGATCAGATGATTAAAATAAAGATAAAAGTCATTATCACCATTTATTGTGAGCCACCGTATTCCTCACTGTCACCATACTCATCGTCTCACAGTCTCCCCAGCAACCCCACAAGGTAGGACATTTTTCTAATGGAGAAGCTGAGGATCAGAGAGGTACAGCAACTTGCCTAATGTTTCACAGCCTGTGGGAGGCAGAGCCAGACTTCAGACTGAGGCCTGATTCCAGAGCCCATTCTCTTTCCAATGTGCCATGACACATCTTTAAAGAGCAGCAGCCACAGATGGAGAAAGTGAGGAAATACTAGAAATGATGGCTAAGGAGGGTTGCAGCAGCCAAGCTCCTAGCTTAGCTAAGAGCTCCCTGGCAGCCAAGGCAAAATGGGCAATAGAATGTATTGCAAAACCTTCAGTTAGATCAAAAGAAGCAGACCAGTTCATCAGGAAAGGAAAGCAGAAAATTCAAAGAGGATTTGTGTTGGTTTCCATATAGCAGATGCTGAGGAACATAAAGGACAGGGTCTGCCGAGGTGATTTTACCAAAGGGACAGTCAGGTCCTGTGAGAATTGGCCCTGTCCCTAGGGAGTACAGGGCCTCTGGCAGGATGTCAGATATCTGAAACTGTCCCCACTTTTGTAATACCTGCCTTTTCAGAACTGCTTTGAAGGCTCCCATCAAGATCTTTCTTAAATCTCTTGCTAGCCTCATTGCCTGCCACTATCCCTTCCCTGATGCCCCAGGGCAGGACATAACTGTTGGGGGACTGAAGAAGGAAGGGGCTTTTCTCCCCGAAGCTATGCCCACAGTGAATTTATGGAGTGAATTCATTCGTGTTCCTCCCTGCGTTCAGGGCCTGGAGGGCACGGTTGCTCCTCTAGCACTGGGGAGTCTTCTCTGCTTCAGTGTTGCGGGTGGTACCTGCATCTTCCAAACACACCTGTTCACAGTGTGTCTTCCTCCTGGGGTTCTATGTGGTGAGAGCCCTCACCACACCGAAGTATCTGGAACCTGGCACTACTCTCGTGGGGTTGGCTTCCTGGTTTTAAATCCAAGATGACCAGGAAATAAATATTTGCTGAATTGAAAGCAAAGTTGTCTACCTGAAAAACCTGTATAACTCTAAGGGAAACAGTGCGTAAAATCAACTACGGGCCAGAGAACCTTGCAGGACCAATAAGGAAGGTCAAGTCAGCAGCATCCCAGGCTCGCCTTGTACTCCATTTGTATACCTCTGTGACAGGGAGCTTACTCTCCGCCATGGCAGCCCCCTCCATCTTCAGACAACATGACTCTGGAAGGAAGTCCCAGTGCCTCTCCTCAGGCCCTCACCATGAAATACAGGCCTCTGACCCCATCCAGTCCAGCCTCTTGACCTTCAGAGTTTCCTCTTGCAGGCCATCCAGGGTGCACCTGCAAAGCAAGAAGTTTGTCCCTGCCCTGCTCCAGAGACCTCGCTGGCTCCCTAGTGCCCTGAGGATGCAGCCTAAACCCTTCATCCTGGCATTTGAGGCTCTACCCTGGGCCTTTGGGACAAGAAGCATGTAGAATACTGTACTGTGGGGGATATCCTAGCTTAGGAGGCCTGAAACCCAGCCACCTGCCCACCACCTCAGGCCAGCAGAATGACAAAGATCTCTCAAGGGCAGATTTGGAGGCCTAGACTCATCCCTGGTCAGCACTGACCCCTGCTCGGGCTGGAGGAGCTTGGGGAAGCCCCTGTCCCTCTGGGGACCCTCAGCTGCCCCTCCACTGCCCCTCAGTGCCCATAGCCACTGAGTGGGAGGTGGCCATGGAGAGAGCTCCCTTGGTCCTTCTGCTGGTCACTGCCAGATCTGTGGCTTAGGCTGGTGACGGTGCCAAGGTGCCCTGGCTGATGCTCCCTTGGGCCACGTCTCCCCTGCCAGATTAAGATCTGGAGCATCCCCAAGCAGCTGCTGACCAAGAACCTCACGGCCTGCAGGAAGGAGCTCGTGGGCCACGCACGCAGAGTGGGCCTGGTGGAGTGGCACCCCACGGCCGCCGACATCCTCTTCAGTGCCGGCTATGACTACAAGGTGAGTCTGGGTGTTCTTCTTCTGGGGCAGCCCCTACAAATTCCCACGAACTGGAATACCACAGAAATTTATTCTGTCACAATTCTGGAGACCAGAGATCGAAAACCAAGGTTTTGGGAGAGCCAGCTCCCTCCAGATGCCCTAGGGAAGAATCCTTCTGTGCCTCTCCCAGCTTCTGGTGGCTCCAGGCATCCTCGGCTGATAGCTGCGTCACTCCAGGCTCTGCTTCTGTCTTCACACGGCCTTCTCTCTGTGTGTCCGTCTTCCTTATAGGAAGAGGAGAGCACCTGTCATTGGATCTAGGGCCCACCTAATCCATTATGATCTCATCTTAACTAATTTCAGCTGTGAAGACCCCATTTCCAAATAAGGTCACATTCTGAGGTTCTAGGTGGACATGAGTTTTCGGGGGACCCTGTTCAACTCATTACAGTTTGCCTGGAGGTGATGGGATGGCACTGCCCTCCCCTCACCCTGCTCCACTGACAACCAAGCATGCAGGTGGTAGGCTCTGTAGATGGGGACCCGCAGCACAGGAGACCTCGATTCTCTTCCGACTCAGTCTCTGACCGGCAGTATAGCCTGGGAAAGTGCCTTGACTTCTCTAGGCCTCAGTTTCCCAATCTGTACACAAATGGAATTGGTGGCACCATAGCTATGGCCTTTCAGTTCTTTCCTTTTGACACTACAGGGATTTACAGAGGCACCTCGGGACCCTCTGTGATGGATAAAAGGAAGGTGGGGGCCGAACATGGTGGCTCACACCTGTAATCCCAACAGTTTGAGAGGCTGAGGTGGGAGGATCACTTGAGCCCAAAAGTTTGAGACCAGCCAACATAGTGAGACCCTGTTTCTACAAAAAAAATAGAAAAAATTAGCCAGGTGTGGTAGCATGTGCCAGTAGTCCCAGCTACTCAGGAGGCTGAGGTGGGAGGATCACTTGAGCCCAGGAGGTTGATGCTACAGTGAGCCATGATCATGCCACTGCACTGCAGCCTGGGCAACCCTGTCTCAAAAATAAATAACTAAAGTAGTTGTGGGGAGCACTGAGGGAACCTGGGCCCTTACTCTTCCGATCCGAAGCGCTTTCCCATCTGTTTGTACAGGGTGTCTGCAGAGCTGCTGCACGTGTTTGTGCTGGTTGTTCTATACACAACTTCAGGGGGCACTAATCACATCCTAGGCTATAGGAATGGATTGCCCTGGAGCTCTGCATGCACAGCCTGTGCAGCTAAACATACAGCCCTGTTGGTGTGTGGGAGGTGCAAACTGTTGCTAATAACTAAAACTGCCTGGATTAGCTGGTTCCCTGGGGTCCTCCCAGCGTGGATATTTTGTTGCTCAGAGGCAGGTGGCGTTTTCCTTTCACCACTAGACAGCCTGGCCCTGGGATTCCCCCTCCTGCCACAAGCAGCTTCAGCCTGCACATCATCCTCCCACCGAGGCTTCTTGGCCAGGCTGCCAGCTGCGCCACCCTCCCGGGGATGCTGTATTTCACTGCATCCTGGCCAGCATGTGACTGTGGGGGCCAGGGGCGGGGTGGCCCCTGTGCTCAGAGTTGGCTCTCTGCCATGCAGGTGATGATCTGGAACCTGGATACAAAGGAGTCTGTCATCACAAGCCCCATGAGGACAATTAGCTGTCACCAAGATGTGATCCTCTCCATGTCCTTCAACACCAACGGCAGCCTGCTGGCCACCACCTGCAAAGACCGCAAGATTCGGGTTATCGACCCCCGAGCAGGCACCGTCCTCCAGGTCAGTGCTGGGCCAGGGGCTGGCTCAGGCTCAGAGGAGCAAGGGACAGAGTGGGGACAGGGGGAGGCTTCAGAGAACAGGACAGTGATGCTGTCGGCGTCTGGGCCACGCCTTCACAGGCAGCATCCCCGTCTGTCCTCTCAGGATTGCCGGAAGGTGGGATATGCCCTTTCCATTTTGTAGGTGTGAAAACTGAGGCCCTTGAGAGATGAAATGACTCACCCCCATGGAGAGCTGGAATCTGAACCTTGTCTGACTCCGAAGCTTGTTGGCGTGCCTCAGCCCTGGCCAGGGGTCAGGAGAGCCGAGCACACCACTGTTTAGCCACTGTGCAGCCTTGGGCAAGCACTTCCTGCTCTGGACCTCTGTTTTCTCATTTGCAACAATGGGCTGTTAGTCCTTCCTCTCCGAGGATTAGATAAGACAGGCCAGGTGGCAGTGCCCACCCTTGTAGGGGTGCCTGATACTTTTTCAGCAAGAACAGGGAGCTGGGCAGAAGTTTGCTTCTGTTCTTGCTCAGAAAAATAACTCTTAACAAAGATAGCCGGGAGAGACTCCATGTGGATGACAGGGATCCAGGTGGTGCCCCTGGAAGAATCTCCAGGCAGAGCTGGGGTGAGAAAGGGAGGCCTTCCAGGTAGAGCGGCGGCATAAGCAAAGCAGGGAGGCCAGAAACCCTAGCTGCCCCCTGGCATCCCCTCCAGTGTTTCTCCAATACCAGCTGCACATGTCCCTCCAGGAGGCCAACTACAAAGGGCACCGGGCCAGCAAGGTGCTGTTTCTGGGGAATCTGAAGAAGCTGATGTCCACGGGCACATCCCGATGGAACAACCGGCAGGTGGCCCTGTGGGACCAGGTGAGGGCTGCACCCCATCCCTCACCATCACCCCTCAGCTGAGAGCCAGCGTCATTCATTCATGCATGCATTCATTCAGACACCCATTTATGTCTCACACATTCAGTGTAGACTGCCAGGTGCCAGGGATCCGGGGATGAATAGCAGGGAGATGCCGACAGCCCCGGGCGAACCCAGACCCTGTGCATCTCGCCACTCTAGGGAGATGGGTCAGGATCCAGGGGATGCCCTGGGCTAGAGGAGGGGAGGTAGCTAAGTCTGGGACCACGACTAGGAGGAAGGGAGAAGGAGAGGGCCATCTGGGCAGAGGGGGCACCTGGAGCAAATGTGGTACTAACGGGTATGGGAAGATTTCATCAGGACAGCTGAGGGTGGAGCGGGGCGAGGTGAGGGCCAAGCTGGCAGTAGTGTTTTGAGGGAGCATTTGACAGGAGTTTCAAAGACTTGACAAATCACACTTTCTCTCTGAGTCTCCTTCATCTATTAAAATAAATTTTAAAAAACAGGTAAGGGAAGATTGGAATGAGATCGGGTGTGTCAAAAGTGATTTGTTATGGCCAGGCATGGTGGTACATGCATGTAATCCCTGCACTTCGGAAGGCCATGGTGGGAGGATCGCTTGAGGCCAGGAATTCGAGACCAGCCTGAGCTACACAGCAAGACCCCCATCTCTGCAGAAAATCAGCTGGGTGCAGTAGTGCACGTCTATAATCCCAGCTACTTGGGAGGCTGAGGCGAGAGGATCGCTTGAGCCAAAGAGTTTGAGGCTGCAGTGAGCTGTGATCGCACCACTGCACTCCAGCCTGGGTGACAGAGTTAGATCTTGTCTCAAAAAAAAAAAAAAAAGTGATTTGTTAAGGGCAGAAAGCTCACAAAATAGGTGGCAGCAGCATTTTAGTGCCTTTAAGATGTCATCTCCACCAGAGAGTAGCCCACACATTGGAACCCAAGAACCAGGGACGTCTTCCCCCAGCACACACATAGAAAAAAATCACACTTTTTCTCTGACACACACACTCTCGCCCAGAGCACCATGGCAGGAATTCTTATCTCCGGGAGCACCACTGAGGGCCCCCAGGAGTGACCCAGGCCTTCCCTGCCTCCCCTTCCCCTGCAGGATGACCTCTCTGTGCCTCTCTTGGAGGAGGACCTGGACGGCTCCTCGGGCGTGCTGTTTCCCTTCTATGACGCGGACACCAGCATGCTCTACGTGGTGGGGAAGGTCGGCTTGGCACGGGAGGGAGGTGACTGCCTGGACCCCTGAGACAGGGTCAGACAGCAACCTGGGGCTGTTGGGAGCATGGGGCAGGGATGGGCAGGCCACTCGTGCCCTGTGAGAAGGAACCCCTCCCACCCTCCTGGCTCCCTAAGAACACCTGGAGCCAGGGCTCTGGCTGGACACCTTGAGCTTGTCCCTTCCCAACTGCAGGCCCAGATATGGGGGGACCATTGGTGTTTCTCAGCAGGGGCACCTGCTGAACTGGGGGCAGAACAGGTCTCCACTGGGTAGGACTATCCCATATCTGGCAGCCCTGGCCCCTGCCCACCAATGCCAAGAACAGCATCTCTCCCCCTCCATCCAAGTCATTATGACAACCAGAAATGTCCCCCATGGTAAGACCTTCTGGATGACCTCTGAGGCCACCCCAGTTCTGACCTTTGCTGCTGCTCTCAGATAGGAGCGGGATTTGGACTTGTCTTCCCAGAGCTTCTGTCTTAGAGGAACAAGGGTGGGCTTTGGGTCATGGTGGGGGAGGATTGAATTTTAAAGTAAGGGCCTGGGCCCAGCACAGTGGCTCATGCCTATAATTCCAGCACTCTGGGAGGCCAAGGTGAGAGAATCAGTTGAGCCCAGGAGTTCAAGACCAGCCTGGGCATAGTGAGACCAGCATAGTGAGACCCCATCTCTACGAAAATGAAAAACTAAAAAATTAACCAGGCACGGTGGCACACACCTGTGGTCCCAGCTACTCGGAAGGCTGAGGTGGGAAGATGGCTTGAGCCCAGGAGGTTGTAGTGAGCTGTGATTGCACTACTGCTCTCCAACCTGGGCAATAAAGTGAGACCCTGTTTAAAAAAAATAAGACAAAATATAAAATAAGATGAAGATCCCCCCCATCACCCTCCTGCCTTAGTGACAGGGCCCCCGGTTTCCTGGTGTTCCCTCGAATGAGATGGGTTTGCCGATCATCAAAAAAAAAAGCCAGGTTTTTGCTGCATGGCTGGGTTGGTGATGAGCTGATGAGATCCAGCTCTGAATCTCACCCTCCCCTTCCTCCTCCTCCTCAGGGAGATGGCAACATTCGCTACTACGAGGTGAGCGCCGACAAGCCTCACCTGAGCTACCTGACTGAGTACCGCTCCTATAACCCACAGAAGGGGATCGGTGAGTGAGGGCCACTGAAGTTCATGCCTGTAATCCCAGCACTTCGGGAGACCGAGGAAGGAGAATCGGGCTCAGGGCTTCAGTGCTGGCTCTGGGGAGACAGGGATGAGTCAGACGGAAGGAGGGACAGCATAGCAACACTCTGACTTATGGGGGCTGTACTTGAGGCGGGCAGCAGCACAAAGGAGGAAGTCAAGGAAGGCTTCTCAGAGGAGGCAACATTGGAGGAACTGAAAGAGGATGCAGAGCCCAGCAGGCGAGAGAGGGATATGTTCCAGGTCAAGGTTAAGCAGTTGCAACAAGAGCAGAGATGGAAAGGGCTGACCTAAAAGAGCCTCCAGGAAGCAGTCCTCAGCTCCTTTCTAAGTGTGTCTGAGGATAAAAACCCAGCTATATTTCTGTAATCTACAAGAAACCCACTTTAAACATAAAGACATGGCTAGATGAAAAGTAAAGGACTGGAGAAAGATGCACCATGCTAACCCTACTCAAAAGGAATCTGGAGTAGTTTGATTGAGAGCATTTGGGTCACAGGAGCTGTGGGGATGGAGATGGAGACCCTTAAGCAGAGCAAACTGCCTATAAAAGTTCAGCTAATCCAGCACTTTGGGAGGCCGAGGCTGGAGGATCTCTTGAGCCTAGGAATTCGAGGCTAGCCTGGGCAACAAAGTGAGACTCCTGTCTCTACAGATAAGTAAAAAAATTGAGGTGCATGCCTGTGGTCCCAGCTACTTGGGAGGCTAAGGCAGGAGGATCGCTTGAGCCCAGGAGTGTGAGGCTGCAGTGAGCTATGATCGTGCCACTGGACTACAGCCTGGGCAACAGAGTGAAGGAAAAGAAAAAAGAAAAGAAAAAGAGTCTCAGAAAGAAAAAATAGTTTAGCTAAAATAATTTAAATATTTGAAGGTGAAGAGTCTGATTAATTCAACTCCATTTCCCAACATAGGGCCCAGTCCAGTGTAGGTATTTGTCCCTGAGCTCTTTTCTGGGAGGAGGCTGGCCTCTGTTCAGGTCCAGGTGTGCAGCCTGGCTTTGGCCCTTTCACTGTGGCCCCAGGCTAGCCAGAACCTCTTGGCCCTCCCTGACTGCCTGCAGGTGTCATGCCAAAGAGAGGACTTGACGTGTCCTCCTGCGAGATCTTCCGCTTCTACAAGCTGATCACAACCAAAAGCCTCATCGAGCCCATCTCCATGATTGTGCCCCGGCGGGTAAAGGCAGTGGGGACCGCGTGGGAGGGAGGTGGGGAACCTGTCCTGGAGAAGACAGATCCAGGGCTGTCAGGTACCAGAGCATGGAGCCCACATTCATGGGGCAGCCACAGAGCGGCCTTTCTCACAGCAGGGTGACATCAGTGGGCGTCAGGAATCCTGGGTCTTGGCCCACCTCTGTTCTTGAGCTGCTGCGTGACCTCGGGCAAATCCCTTTGTTCTCTGGGCCTCCGTTTCCTCAATTCAGCAGGGGTTGGGGAGAGCCTGGACTCCCAGCTCTAAGGGCCCTTCCCATCTGAGCAGCCTACCCTATCACCCTCCTCACTGTCTGGATTTCTCCTACAGTCGGAATCCTACCAAGAGGACATATACCCTCCAACAGCAGGGGCCCAGCCCTCCCTGACGGCCCAGGAGTGGCTCAGCGGGATGAATCAAGGTGAGGAAGACAGAGGAGAGGCCCAGACAAATGTGGCAGGAACGTGGAGTGCCCAGTGGCCCCAAGCAACTGAGAGGGGTTGGGCCTGGATTTTTATTCTCTCATAACCTCAGAGGTCATGCCCTTGACCTTCAGTCCCCAGTGGGTAGCATGGTCACATACAGGTCCAGAAAGTCAGGGGGCTTGACCTGAGGGCTCAGGAAACTCCAGCTCAAGGGACTTTGCTCCATGGAAAGCTTCTTTACACTCTGAGGCTATGCGGGGTGCCTGGACCACCTTAGCCAGACTCCCCATCCCCGTTCCCCACCCCTAGCTCTGCAATTCTTTTTTTTTTTTTTTTTTTGGAGACAGAGTCTCGCTTTGTTGCCCAGGTTGGAGTGCAGTGGTACAATCTCAGCTCACTGCAACCTCCACCCCCACCCCCGCATTCAAGTGATTCTCATGCCTCAGCCTCCTGAGTAGCTGGGACTACAGGCACGTGCCACCATGCCCAGCTAATTTTTTGTATTTTTAGTAGAGATGGGGTTTCGCCATGTTGGTCAGGCTGGTCTCAAACTCTTGACCTCAAGTGCTCCACCTGCCTCGGAAAGTGTTGGGATTACAGGCGTGAGCCACCGTGCCTGGCCTTTTTCGATTCTTCTTGACCCAAGAAGTCCTCCAGGCAGCAACCCCCACCCAGGTCCCTCTGCCTGCCCTGCCTGTCCTGAGCCACTCTCCTGCTCCTGCCAACATGAAGGCCAGCCCAGCGGAAGCAGCCACCCCAGCCGCTCCCTCTCCCTTCCACCCCCCAAACTTCCTTCACCCCCACCCCAGCGGCTGAGTGGGCCTCCTGGTGTACTGGAAGAGCCTCTGCCTTGGGGGACAGGGAACCAGTGCCAAGTCGTAGTTCTGGATAACCTTAAGTAGGTTTTGCTCCCTGGGCCTCAGTTTCCTCATCTGTAGCCGTGATGCCAGCCTCCCCTGCTTCTTGGAGGTGGTGAGAGAACTAATGGACTTGGTAGATGGCGGGGTGCAGTGTGGGTGGGACTGTCCTTACAAAGGAAGGGCAAGGTCTCACGTGAGCTTGAAGTGCTTGGGGGGCTGCTCCAGTGCACGCACCGTGCTGTTCCTACAAAACAAGCTTCACTTCGAGGGTGGCACATGTGGGTATTTGTATCTGGTAGCCCTGCTCTGTGGCTTTGTGCCTGTCCACATGTAGCTGTATTTCCCACACCTGTTGCATGGGTCAGCATGGCTCTGAGTATCTCTGCATGCTGCCTGTGTCATTGGTGCCCTATATGCCCATCTGCCCATGGGCACCCAGTCCTCACACAGCTCTGCTTCCCTTCCAGACCCAATCCTGGTGTCACTTAGGCCTGGCTCTGAGCTGCTGAGACCCCACCCACTGCCTGCAGAGAGACCTGTCTTCCATTCCATGGCCCCAGCCTCACCCCGGCTCTTGAACCAGGCAGAAAAGCTGGCTGCAGAAGATGGCTGGAGGTCTTCCTCCCTGTTGGAGGAGAAGACGCCAAGATGGGCAGCAGAGCACAGGCTGGAGGAGAAGAAATCCTGGCTGACAAATGGCTTTGATGTTTTCGAATGCCCCCCACCAAAGACAGAAAACGAGGTGTGAAGGAGAACGGGGTGGGCCTTTCACATGGGGCAGCTGGGGTGGAGGGCAGCAGATCCAGGCTGAGAAGAAGGGAGAAAATGAGGCATGAGAATAACCATCTGTGTGGCCTGGCCTGGTTGCTTGACTCATTTTGTTAATTCATTCAACAAACAGGCAGTGAGCTCCATCTTATGCCAAAATAATGGGCATAGATAAAGATGGTGGGAGGCCGGGCATGGGGGCTTACGCCTGTAATCACAGCACTTTGGGAGGCCAAGGTGGGCAGATCACGAGGTCAGGAGTTCAAGACCAGCCTGGCCAACATAGTGAAACCCTATCTCTACTAAAAATACAACAATTAGTCGGGCATGGTGGCACGCACCTGTAGTCCCAGCTACTCGGGAGGCTGAGGAAGGAGAATGGCTTGAAACCAGGAGGTAGAGGTTGCAGTGAGCCAAGATCATGCCACTGCACTCCAGCCTGGGCAACAGAGCAAGACTCCATCTTGAAAAAAAAAAAGATGGTGGGGATCAGGTGCAGTGGCTCACACCTGTAACCCCAGCACTGTGGGAGGCCAAGGTGGGCGGATCTCTTGAGGCCAGAAGTTTGAGACCAGCCTGGCCAACATGGTGAAACCCTGTCTCTACTAAAAATACAAAAATTAGCTGGGTGTGGTGGTGCGTGCCTATAATCCCAGCTACTCTGGAGGCTGAGGCAGGAGAATCACTTGAACCCAGGAGGCAGAGGCTACAGTGAGCCAGGATCACACCACTGCACTCTAGCCTGGGCAACAGAGTGAGACTCTGTCTCAAAAAAGAAAGAAAGATGGTGGGAAACCATCTGTAAAATGAAGAGGGTATGACCTGATGGATATCAAAGTTTTTCCAGTTCTGATATTATAGGATTTTCTGTGCTTTCAAAGTCCACATTTGTTAAGTGCCTACTGTGTGGCAGATCCTGGGGTAGGCACTTTGATATAGCATGTGATTGAATTCTCTCAACAGCCCTGGAAGTCAGTCTGAAGTGGCTAAGAACACAGAGGCCGGCATCTCACAGATGGATTCTGATCCTGGCTCTGCTGAGTACTAATTTAGGGTCTCAGACCCAGAGACTGAATGTCTCTAAGCTGCCGTTTCCACAGTGGTACAGTGGGGACACTGGCACTGCCACCCTTATAGGGGTGTCAAAACGTTCCAGTGGGATAACGAAGGCCCTTAGGGCATCACTCAACATCTAACACCCATTCTGCACAGCGGCAACAATTATGATAATGATGAGGGCAGTTTTCTGACCCCATTTCCCGGAGAAAGTAAGGGAAGCTCAGAGTGGGTAAATAACTTGCCCAAGGTCACACAGTTCAGTGGTGGCATAAACACCAATCCCCAGACTTCAGAGCCAGGCATGCTTTCCTCTATTCCATGGAGGATCTCTGGAGGCAAAATACATCTGAAACATGCCAGTCTTCTTGAATTTCATTTACTGGGTGAAGAAAACAAGGTGTTTGTAAAAGATCTATGCAGTGACAGCCTCATCAGCCCTCTGCCGTGTTAATGTAACCACCTCCACCTTTCTGAGTCAAAGACGGATAGCAGTTTAGCTTTCAGCTGGTGTTCTGACACCCTGGTGATCCTGCCTTCCAATCTTTCTTCCCCAGTTACTGCAGATGTTCTACCGACAACAGGAGGAGATCCGAAGGCTCCGGGAGCTGTTGACCCAGCGAGAGGTCCAGGCCAAACAGTTGGAACTGGAGATCAAAAACTTGCGGATGGGCTCAGAGCAGCTCTGAGCAGAGACTTCTGCCCTCCTCACCCTCAGGGACACCACTCGGCTCCGTGGGGAGGTTTAGAACCAAACCACAGGTCCCCCTAAGAACAACCACTATTTCTATATTTTTTACCAGAAAACAAAACTCTCCATCGCTGAAAGAGATTCCAGTGGGACATGGTGCCGTTTTTCTATTTGCCTTCTTGCAGCAACAGTTTCTGAATTGACTTTGTTTTCAGACGATGCCTTCTGTTGAATTCTATTATTAAGGGTCCATGATGAGCTGTAACTTCTCAAGAGGAAGAAACACAGTAGAAAACTAGAGCTGGAAGGACCTCGGTTGACCTGTCTGTGATTTTCAAACTGTGGTCCAGAGAATAGGGGAAGACTGGGCCAGACGCAGTGGCTCATGCCTGTAATGCCAGCACTTTGGGAGGCTGAGGTAGGCGGATTGCTTGAGGTCAGGAGTTTGAAACCAGCCTGGCCAATATGGTGAAACCCTGTCTCTACTAAAAATACAAGAATTAGGCTAGGCGTGGTGGCTCACGCCTGTAATCCCAGCACTTTGGGAGGCCAAGGTGGGCGGATCTTCTGAGGTCAGGAGTTCAAGACCAGCCTGGCCAACATGGTGAAACCCCATCTCATACAAAAATTAGCTGGGCGTGGTGGTGCATGCCTGTAAACCCAGCTACTTGAGAGGCTGAGGCAGGAGAACCACTTGAGCCTGGGAGGTGGAGGTTGCAGTGAACCAAGATCATGCCACTTCACTCCAACCTGGGCAACAGAGTGAGACTCCGTCTCAAAAAAAAAAAAAAAAGAAAGAAAGAATAAAACTTAGCCAGCCGTGATGACAGGTGTCTGTAATCCCAGCTACTCAGGAGGCTGAGATAGGAGAATTGCTTGAACCTGGGAGGCAGAGGTTGCAGTGAGCCAAGATTGTGGACTGCACTACAGCCTAGGTGATAGAGCAAGACTCCATCTCAAAAAAAAAAAAAAAAAAAAAAAAAGAGAGAGAGAGAATAGGGGGAGACTAAGCAGGAAGGCTGTGTCTCCCTTCCCCACACTGTGTTCCAACCAGATAGCTCCCTTTTATTTTATATGTTGGGCTAATATGAAAAACAATTCTGCTAGTAAAAAAAAAATTTTTTAGAAGTTTGAAAACTAGTGATTTCACCCAAGTTCCTCATTTTACAGGTGGGGAAACTAAGGCCCAGAGAGAAGCAGGTGATACTTGTTTCATGGCAGGGCTGGGCTGAGATCCTGCTTTTCCGGGTCTGTCTTTTTGTTGTTTTGGGTCTGATGCAGTTCTCAGCCCACAGAGTAGAAATCTGTTGCTTCTGGCCTCAACTGTGCCCCAGCTTACTCAGTGACCTCTTGCAAGTCCTGCCCTCTCTGGTCTCAGTTTCTTCATCTGAACAAGGAGTACCCTGGAACAAGCTGCTGTCTGCAGGATCTGCCACCTGAAACCCTGACCTAAGGGAAAACTACCTATGGGGTGATCTGGGTTTGCTGCAGAAACTAACAGACACTGGCAAGGGGCCAGGGGCATTCAACCCAATTCTACAACACAGGCAGGAGGTCCAAACCAACCTTTCCAACCAGAAACCAGCCTGATGTGGGTAGATGCTGTCCCTTATGGAGGGATGCAGACTTCAGAGCTGTGCCCATGACTGCTGACTGCCACCACCAAGGCCCTCAGGTACACAGCCTGCCTCCTGCAGGATGATGTGGGCAGATTTCAGCCCTAGTTAACAGAAGAGTGCCCCAGGAGGTAGGGGGCCCCCATCCCTGGAGGCATGCCAGTAGAGCCTCTGGCCACCTAACCAGGAGGACTTCTGAAATGACTCTACGAGGTAAAGAAGTAAGACCAGATGGTCCCAAAGTTCCCTTCTAGCCTGAAAGCTTTTATTTGTCCCTCCTTAGTGAATCTGTGTTCCGAGCCCTACTCTAAAGTTCAGTGGTCAATACGATAGTCCACCAAGAGACTGGGAATGATTAGAAGTGAAATTGGTCCATCCTTACCAAGGAGGGGCAGATGATCTCCATTGCACAGGGCGATTAGATTCTGGAGCTGAGATGGGGACTGCAGGAGGCCATCCAGCCTGGTAGGTTTCAACCCAAGCTGTGTACATTAGAATCCCCTTGGGAGCGTGCAGGAAATACAGATGCCCAGGCCACATTCCAGACCAACTGAAGCTGAATCTCCAGAGTAGGGCCTGTATGTTCATATACGCTCCACAGGTGATCTGCAGTACAGTGAGGATGGAAGACTGCATGTGTACCTATTTCAAGATGAAGAGGACAGCAAGCTCCAGATAGGAGCTGGGACTCAACCCAGATCTCTTAAGTCCTGGCTGGTGGCTCCTTAAAAGTCTAGAAGTGTTGTCCCAAGCCCTCCCTCAACATCTCTGGGAACCGCAGCTGCAGCACAATGGGGGTTCAGCGCCCCTGTTTGCCCCTTCCTTAGCCATGGTTTATTCTGCTTGTCTGTCTGCACAGGCCAGATGCTCATGTTCCTTGTCTTATTCTCCATTTACTCAGTCACTGGGGCTCACTCCCGTCTGATGCGCCAGCCAAGATTGCCTTAGTGTGCTCCAGAACAGAAGGCCAAATCCCAGGCATTGCCACGGCAGCAGAGCTCTACAGGATAGGCTTACCTCTCCCACCTGTGTGGCTAGCACCACAGTTTACAAACTCCTCCCACCTCCACTCACTGACACATGCTATTCTAACACAGGTTAGGCAGGTATTCCAAGCCCCATGTTCAGAATCAAAGACCTAGCCTCAGAGAAGTGAAGAAACATCATGCCAAGGTCGCTGACTGCCAAGCGGTAGAGGTGGGGTTGCATCCAGAGAGCTTCCTGGTATGCCTCTGCACAGCGCCATTCCTTGGCCAGCTCTCTCCACCCCAGAGGACCCAGACTGCACACTTAAAAACAGGACACAGGTGTCTTTGAACAAACTTTTTTTTTAATTTTTACATCTAGAATAAATTATTTAAATTATTTCACAGCAAGGGAGAGGGATAGGTAATTTTTATCAGATATTTTTTTAAACCATCTGTTTTTTAAATTACGTTTTTGTTTATGTTCTTGAGCTGAGGTAGTGGAACTCGCCCAGCGCATTCAGGGCCCAGCCAGTTGGCAGAGCATGCCCTCATCTCCTTATTCCATACCCCGGGCGTCCCCTTTCTGTTGACTCAGGAACTTTCTGAGAATGAGGACAGCACTAGGAGATGAGCTTTGGCGGGTATCCATCTTACTGCTACCGTAATTGTGCTTCCTGGAACAAAACTTGAGATTGTATCAGAGAAGGAAACAGGAAGTCAGAAATCAAATCTATGCTTTTAATTGAAACCGTGCCTGAAACAGTTTGAATGATTGTTTTAATGTTGTTTCTGAAATTCCTTGTACCTTTGTGAAAAATAATAATAATAAATAAAAGTGAAAATAAATAGATGTGGAATGTGCGATGGAAATAATGTCACAAAATAATAAACATCTGGCCAGACATTTTACTACAAGGAGCTTTCCTTGTCTTGATTTGTTCCACAAATACCAATTAACTATCTACTGTTGGAGTCAGACACCAAGCTGGAAAACAGGCAGGACAGACAGTCTTTGCCCTCTCCAGTTTTCAGTCATGGTTGGGGGAATGGGGAGGGCCAGGATAGGGGAAACGTAGGCTGTTCTGGAAGGAGAAGCAGGGAAGGTTTCCTGGAGGCAAAGATAGTAAGGTAGAAATCTGCAGGATAAGTTGGAATACTCAGGGCAAAGGGCATTTGGGAAGAAGAATGTTCCAAGCAGGGTAAACTGCAGGTCCTCCAGTCTTGAAAAATCAAAGGGTGGAGCGTAGGCAGGGCGGGGACCAAGGATCTTAAGAAAGAGCCAAGGGCTTTAAAAGTGGGCTTGGAGACTTGAGCCTGGGGGCAACTGGAATTTGGGGTGGGGGTGTGTCTGTGAAAGTTGTCAGTACCAAAACAGAGTCACTTATGTCAAAATCAAACTAAATGGTGCTCCTGTAGTCTTAGCTACTCCAGAGAATGAGGTGGGAAAATCACTTGAGCCCAGGAGTTAGAGGCTGCAGCGAGCTTTGATCGCACTACTGCACTCCAGCCTGGGCAACAGAGCCAGACCCTGTCTCAAACAAAATAACTAAAGGGTGCTGGGAGGCCATGAAGTGGGGGGCCCTCACCAACGATTTGCCTGGTAACAGGAATTACCAAACTGCAGCCTTGCACAAAGAACCACAGCATTGCACAAAAGCCACGATATGAGGACATCTGCCCAGCAACTGCCTGTTCAACTTTCGGATTGAAGCCACCCGTATTAATTCTTGTAATCAAGTATTATTATTTTAAAACAATGTATGCAATCCGCCTCCTTCTGCTTTTAAAAGCCTCTACTTTCCTTTGCCTCCCTGCGTACTCCGCGCCTCTACCCCTTGGGTGCCATGGCACATTTATTCCCGAATTGCAATCCTTCTGCTCAGTCCGAAATAAACTCAATTGGAGAATCTCTGTGTCGTTATTTGAGCTTGACTAGGTTTCTTATAGTTGTGGGAATGATTATCTTTCCCGGGAAAAGGGCAAGAGAGGATCAAGGGAAAGTGAGAGGAGCACCCCTGGAAGGTCCAGCCAACTTTGGTCCCATCACCAGGGCTGCAGTTTTCTGGGCGTTAGTGATCCAGCGTCATTAAGCAGGAAGCCCACCCTCTCCCGGCTGGCTTATTAGGAGCCTCCCATTTCTGCTGAGGCCACCTCCTGGCCTGGGCGGGCAGAGGGAGCACCCTGCTGGTCGGAGGATGCTCCCTGCAGGCTGTCATCCTCCCAGCGGCCGGCCGGCCGGCCTGGAGCCGCCCCGCCCACGGCCGAGGTTTCGGTTTCCCGTGGGAGCCCCGCCCCGTGCCCCGGGGAGCCGGAGGTGGCGGAGATGAATGGCGGGCGCGGCGGCTAGCAGCCGGACCCCTGGGGGGTCGGAGCTTGTCGAGGGATGCGGCTGGCGCTGCCCGGAGCATGGCGACCGCATAGCTGAACTCTTCTGTCGCCGCTGCCACCGCTGTGTGTGCGCGCTTTGCCCGGTGCTGGGCGCGCACCGTGGCCACCCGGTGGGCCTGGCGCTGGAGGCGGCGGTGCACGTGCAGGTGGGGACGGTGTGGACGGGGTTCGCCGCGCGGGAGTTGGGGGAGCCAGTCCAGGCATAACGGCCGAGGAGGGGAGGTACCTGACCGTGGCCAGTGGCGGGTTACAACCTGGAAACCAAAGGTGCCCCAGAGGGCGTCTAAGCGGTCGATCGAAAGTTCAGAGGGGGAGACTGAGACCCAAGGAAGGGCAAAGGCGAGCCAAAGCCATCAGTTGAGCTTCAGAAAAGGTGGGTTCAGGAGTGAGAGGTTGGGAGCCCAGGCTGGTACCCAGATGTCCTTGACTGTGTCCACCATGGCCGATCCACCACACTGCCATTGGGCTGGAAGATAGTCTGCCTTCCAGTTAACAGAGGTGCAAACTCTCCCTCTTAATCAACAGCCCTATGTAGCTAAGAAAGCCACACAGACATCTCGGGTTTACTCAATCTGCAATCCATAGAAAGGGCCTGTGAACCTTGAGTTGAGGACGGCTGATTGCCCTTGGAGCAGCCTCAGCTGTCACTACCTACCTCCTCTCCCCTCCCCGGCCACACAGACGCTCCCATTCCTACTCGTGGCAGCCTTGGGTGAGCCATTATTATTACGGCCATTTTATAGGCCACAAGAGGAAGGCTCTGGAGGCAGGGTCAGGCCTTGAACCCAGGACTCCATTAGCCAGATGCCCCCAGTAGAGCCATTGTCACCATAGAACCTCACCCAGGTATAATCCTAACAGTGCCCAGGGACTTTGGGCTCCTGCTCCAGCTTTCCAGCTGACTTGTTCTGTGGCTCCTCTCAAATCCTTCTCTCTCTCTGGGTTTCATGAAGCCTGGGCATGGTAGGCCCTCCTGTCTGACAGATGTTGATCCTACCACTTCCCTCTCCAAGAAGTCTTCTGTGATGAACTCGGCCTCATCTTGAGCTTTTCCCCGGTACTGCATGACTCCAGACTACCACATTGTGACAACCGTGGAACTCCAAGGTGAAAAGGGGATCATGGGGGACAATCCAGTGGAGTCGTGGGCTCAAGACCTGTCCCTGCCACCAGACCCTTCCTTTTTTTAACTTATGAAATGGCTGTAATTATAATAATGGCTGCTTGAAAAACCTATTCAGAACTAACAAGGCTGCTTTCCACAGATCTGGCTGAAGAGTCTCACCCATCCATTTGTCCATTCCCCTACCCACTACCTACTGTCAACTTGAAGTAATAAGATTCAGAAAATAGGATTAAGTACAGAGTTTATCCAAGCCTAAAGCCTGAGGATGGCCAACTGGGACCATAGATTCAAATTTCCGAGACTATCCACTCTGATTAGCAGCAGTTACATATAAGTTTTTAAGGAAAAAAGAAGAGGCAGTTCCTAAATTGTTTACCAAGAATTTACATTAAAATGACATAAGCAGTCGGGCACAGTGGCTCATGCCTGTAATCCCAGCACTTTGGGAGGCTGAGGCAGGAGGATCACATGAGGCCAGGAGTTCGAGACCAGCCTGGCCAACATGGTGAAACCTCATCTCTACTAAAAAATATGAAAATCAGCCAGGTGTGGTGGTACACATCTGTAATCCCAGCTACCCAGGAGGCTGAGGCATAAGAATTGTTTGAACCCGGGAGATGGAGGTTGCAATGAGCCGAGATCATGCCACTGCACTCCAGCCTGGGTGACAGAGTGAGACTCTGTCATAAATAAATAAATAGAAAAAGAGAATCTCTATGGCAGAACAACACCAAACCTATTCCACTGGAGAGTCAACTAAAAACATCATGAAGAAAATCCCAAGCCTTCTTTAAAATCCAGGAATTGGCTTCTAAAACTTTTTCTACAACCTTCCTTGTTGTAGCCAGGAAATAATTCAGGATTTAGTCCAAATTGTAGGAAAATAATAAAAACTCGAAAACAATGGCCAGGGCTGGAATCTAATAACAGGAATAACAGGTGTGCAGCACTAACAGGTGTGCTAAGATTTTCTTCTGAAACGTAATTTTTCTCTCTCTAGTTCCCTGTTTTTAGCAAAAATGAGTCTTGATAGGACAAATTTACTTGCAAATTAAGTTTTAGTAGTATACTTGGCCTGATAATTTGCATTATTGGAACTTTCATAAGGAATTTTGGATTTCACTTTTTTTTTTTTGACACAGGGTCTCACTCTGTCACCCAGACTAGAGTGCAAGGCATGACCTTGGCTCACTGCAACCTCCACCTCCCAGGCTCAAGCGATCCTCCTACCTCAGCCTCCCAAGTAGCTGGGACTATAGGCATGCGCCACCACACCTGGCTAATTTTTTTTGTACTTTTTTTTTGTAGAGATGGGGTTTCACCATGTTGTCCAGGTTGGTCTAGAATTCCTGGGCTCAGGTGATCCTCCTGCCTCAGTCTCCCAAAGTGCTGGGATTATAGGCATGAGCCACTATGCCTGGCCTGGATTCGACTTTTAAAAGCCTCACAGCTAAAAAGCCAAACCAAGGATTTACCATCAGACTATGCCTGTGATACCCACACACATTGGGCGAATTCTTCTCTTCTCAAGGTTCCAAAATATCTTGAGGTTTCTAGACCTGTCAGAAAGTGACATTCTTTACTTACCACAAGGTTGGGAACCTTGTAAGGGAACTGTGTAGACAAGGTACCAAGCCAGTCCAGTCTTTCCAAGAGTTTTTTTTTTTTTTTTTTGAGACAAGGTCTCACTCTATTGCCCAGGCTGGAGTGCAGTGGTGCAATTTTGGCTCACTGCAGCCTCTGCCTCCCAGGTTCAAGTGATTCTCCCACTTCAGCTTCCTGAGTAGCTGGGACTACAGGTGTGAACCACCACTCCTGGCTAATTTTTGTATTTGTTGGTAGAGATATGGCTTCACCATGTTGGCCAGGGTGGTCTTGAACAACCCAAAGTCAAGTGAACTGCCCACCTCAGTCTCCCAAAGTGCTGGGCCCCCTTTTATTGTATTTTATTTTATTCTTGTTAACATTTTTTAATAGAGGCAGAGTCTCACTATGTTCCCCAGGCTGGTCTCAAACTTCTGGACTCAAGCGATCCACCTACCTCAGCCTCCCAAAGTTCTGGGATTACAGGCCTGAGCCACCAAGCCTGGCCACCAAGGGTCTTTTTATGGCTCTGTAAAGTCAACTTCAGTTCCTCAAAGCAGTCTGGTCATATATGAAGATATATCATTTCAGTAAAAGCCTTGGTAAAATTACCAGAGTCTCCAATGTGGCCTGTTATGAAAGAAAACATATTCTTATTGAACTTATGCAAATAACTATATTGTCATAAAATTACAATAGCCACGTGCGGTGGCTCACCTACCTGTAATCCTAGCACTTTGGGAGGCTGTGGTGGGCGGATCAGTTGAGGTCAGGAGTTGGAGATCATCAGCCTGGCCAACGTGGTGAAACCCCATCTTTACTAAAAATATAAAAATTATGCCGGGTGCAGTGGCTCACGCCTGTAATCCCAGCACTTTGGGAGGCCAAGGTGGGTGGAGCACGAGGTCAGGAGTTTGAGACCAGTATGACCAATATGATGAAACCCTATCTCTACTAAGAATACAAAAATTAGCTGGGCATGGTGGCGGGCACCTGTAATCCCAGCTACTCGGGAGGCTGAAGCAGGAGAATTGCTTGAACCCAGGAGGCAGAGGTTGCAGTGAGCCAAGATTGCACTACTGCACTCCAGCCTGGGCAACAGAGCGAGACTCTGCCTCAAAAAGAAAAAAATAAAACTTAGCCAAGCGTGGCGGCATGTACCTGTAATCCCAGCTACTTGGGAGGCTGAGGCAAGAGAATTGCTTGAACCTGGGAGGCAGAGGCTGCAGTGAGCCGAGATTGTGCCACTGCACTCCAGCCTGGGTGACAGAGCAAGACTCTGTCTCAAAAAATAATAATAATAATAATTTAAAAAATGAAAATAAAAAATAAAATAAATACTCACAAATAGTTTGCAAATTTTGGAGAAATCAGATAAAGAGAAAGACAAATATTTCAATTTTGCTCACAAAAGTATACTTTATCCAGTTGCTGTGACAAAAGAAAAAATTTTCTTTACTGAAAAACAATATAAAAAGAATCAGCAATGTTTCAAATATTTTAAATCATAAAAATCACTTTTATCTTCTATCAGTTTAGTCCCATGTAAATAATTCTTGCTGTATTTGATGTTGGGTTATCAGTCTTCATGAATGCCTCAAGTTTTTATTAGAGTTCTGGAAGTTTTTACTTAGTCCAGTGGTATGATCTCTGAAGTTACCAGAAACCTGTATTCAAGAGTACTTGTTAGGATTTTTTTCAAAAATATCCTTAAAGAAGAAGCAAATTTTGGACTGTAGCTGATTATAAATGACTTTTTTTAAAAAGAATCAACGTAAAATAAAAATTGTCTATGGATGATAAAAGGCTTAGAATAGCCACGGTCAAAGATGAAATTGACTAGGATATTTGGTTATTTGTGTGGCATACAACAGTTTATCATAATAATTATGATAATGACATACTGATAACATATACCAAGACATATCAGACTTTTAGGAATCTCATACAATTTTGGAACACATTAGTAATACACTTTTATAAATATAACTCAAAGAAACAGCATTTCTTATTTGACAATATTTCCCATATGACTTTGACATCCCAAATAAGCCTAATGTGTCTCTTTTGGACTTCCAGGGGTTCTGGTTACGCCCAAGTTAGCTTGGGTCAAAAAGACTTAATTTTTGAATTTAAAATTTAATTTTGGAAAGTATCTCAAATATTAAAGGTTTAAAACACTTGATATAAAAATAAGAAAGGTTTAAAATACATGATCAAAATAGAATCACAGGTCACTACAAAATAATGGTAACTGATTTAGCCAAAATGATAATTCAAAGATTTCAAAAAGCAACAATCACTCTGATAAAGGAGATTCAGTTCTCAATCAAGAGACCTACAAAAGACAGCATGGGACAAACTCTCCCCTGTTACCTTTTCTTTGCCATCTATGCAAAAGCAAATACATCTTTCACTGTCTCTTATTAATACTACATTACATTTTTATTCAAAGGAGAAAAACAAGTTTTACTTTTAGGCCAGGCACAGTGGTTCATGCCTATAATCCCAGCCCTTTGGGAGGCCAAGGCAGGCAGATCACTTGAGCTCGGGAGTTCAAGACCAGCCTGAGCAACATGGTGAAACCCTGTCTCTACAAAAGATACAAAAATTAGTTGGGTGTGGTGGCATGTGCCTATAGTCCCAGCTACCTGGGGGGTTGAGGCAGGAGGATTGCTTGAGCCTGGGAGGTCGAGGCTGCAGTGAGCCAAGATTGCACCACTGAACTTCATCTTGGGTGACAAAGTGAGACTCTGCCTCAAAAAAAAGAAAAAAATTACTTACGTATTAGTATATTATCAATTATCCAATCTCAGTCAGTTTTGACTACACAAGGTAAGATTTCCATAAACCTTCAATAATCTCTCACCATTTTCTATTAAAGAGCAGATCAATGCTCTGATAAAACCCAGTGGTTGTTCCAACACAGGAGCCCAGATTCTGGCCTTACATGAGTGTACTTTTGATATTAATGCTTAAGTTTTAGAAAAACTTATTAAAAATTTCCTTCTTTTTTTTTTTTTTTTTTTTTTTTTTTGAGATAGAGTTTTGCTGCTGTTGCCGAGGCTGGAGTGCAGTGGCATGAACTGTCTCACTGCCACTGCACTTTCATAAGGAATTTTGGGTTTCACCATGTTGGCCAGGCTGGTCTCAAACTCCTGACCTCAGGTGATCCACCTGCCTCGGCCTCCCAAAGTGGTGGGATTACAGCCATGAGCCACCGCACCAGCCATTTCCTTCTGATTTTTTTTTTTGGAGATGGAGTCTTGCTCTGTCACTCAGGCTGGAGTGCAGTGGCGTGATCTCTGCTCACTACAACCTCCACCTCCCAGATTCAAGTGATTCTCCTGCCTCAGTCTCCTGAGTAGCTGTGATTATAGGTGCGTGCCACCACACCTAGCTAATTTTTGTATTTTTAGTAGAGATGGGATTTATCCATGTTGGTCAGGCTGGTCTCAAACTCCTGACCTTGTGATCTGTCTGCCTCGGCCTCCCAAAGTTCTGGGCTTATAGGCATGAGCCACTGCACCCAGCCATTTCCTTCTTATTTTAACCAATTTGATCACATACAAAATGACTTTTATGAGATTAATCTTCCACAGACCTTCTAGAATTTACTTAAATCTTCAGTTTTGTCCTATACTTCCTTTTTATTTTGGCATTCTACGTTAGGACAAAAATTTACTTCCCTTTTCCCGTTATCATTTTGACTACACAAAGTTCTGTCTCATGCAAAAGAAAAATTACTCTTTCAACAGTCTTTACCAAAAACACATCTGACTTTCTCTATACCCTCTGTAAATAGAATTGTTTCTTTTATATCAAGTAGTTTTAATCACATATATTAACTATAATTTTCACTCTTAGTAACCCAAATTTCCAGTGAAAAACCTAGGAAGTAAGTAATTTTTAGCTGTTTTCTACCAGCATTTGTAGATTAAAATAATTTCATAATTTCTAGAAAGATGGCTCCTAAATTTTTTTTGTTAACAGATTGAAATATATTTAGCTTTTCTTTCTTTTTTTTTTTTTTTTTTTTTTTTTGAGACGGAGTCTTGCTCTGTGCCCCAGGCTGGAGTGCAGTGGCGCAATCTCGGCTCACTGCAAGCTCCGCCCCCCGGGTTCACGCCATTCTCCTGCCTCAGCCTCCCAAGTAGCTGGGACTACAGGCGCCCACCACCACGCCCCGCTAGTTTTTTTTGTATTTTTTTAGTAGAGACGGGGTTTCACGGTGTTAGCCAGGATGGTCTCGATCTCCTGACCTTGTGATCCGCCCGCCTCGGCCTCCCAAAGTGCTGGGATTACAGGCTTGAGCCACCGCGCCCGGCCTTATATTTAGCTTTTCTATACCATATAAATGATTCAGACATTTTATGATGACCTATTACTTAATTTAACATAACGTGATATTAAGTTACTGAAAACAATTTTTGTTTGTTTGTTTTTGAGACGGAATTTCACTCTTGTTGCCCTGGTTGGAGTGCAATGGTGCGATCTTGGCTCACTGCAACCTCCGCCACCTGGGTTCAAGCGATTCTCTTGCCTCAACCTCCCGAGTAGCTGGGATTACAGGCATGCACCACCACGCCTGACTAATTTTGTATTTTTAGTAGAGATGGGGTTTCTCCATGTTGGTCAGACTGGTTTCGAACTCCTAACTTCAGGTGATCTGCCCACCTTGGCCTCCCAAAGTGCTGGGATTACAGGCGTTAGCCACCGTGCCCAGCCTGAAAACAATTTTTAAAACTATGAAATGTTCATTTATAAACTTTTATCCCATTTACATTTATTTTATTTTTTCATTCTTAACTATTTTGCCTGAATAGTTCATTAAACAAAGCTAGCCACCATCAATTTATTTCTTTGCTAATCATTTCTGTAGCCTGTGAATGTCATCCTCCCAAGCAGCTGGGACTTGAGGCATTCTTCTCCATGCCCAGCCAGGTTTTTTGTTTTGTTTTGTTTTGTTTGTTGATTTTTGGTAGAGATGGGGTCTTCCTATGTTGCCCAGGCTGGTCTCAAACTCCTGGACTTAAGTGATCCTCCCACCTCAGCCTCCTGAGTAGCTGGGATTACAGATGCAAGCCACCATGCTCAGCTTTTGAATCTCATTATGTAAGGTTGACACTGTGAATACTTACTTTGCGTCCACATACCCAGTTTCCTATCCATTCACCCATTATTCATTCATCCATCCATCATTCACCAAACATCTATTCAGCATACATTTTGGGCCATGAGTCAAGGAATAGATCAGATCCTTCCCTGACCTGGAAGAGTTCCTTGGCTGGTTGGGGGAAAAGCTGGCAGCTCCCGACGATAAATTCTTTTTTTTTTTTTTTGGAAATAGGGTCTCACTCTGTTGCCCAGGCTGGAGTGCAGTGGCGTAGTGGCATGATCGTGGCTCACTGCAACCTCCTGGGCTCAGGTGACCCGCCCCTGACCTCATCCTCCCAAGTAGCTAGGACTACAGGTGCATGCCACCACGCCCAGCTAATTTTATTTATTTATTTATTTATTTGCAGTAGAGGCAGAGTCTCACTGTGTTGCCCAGGCTGGTCTCAAACTCCTTGGGCTCAAGTGATCCTCCTACCTCAGCCTCCCAAAGTGTTGGGATTACAGACATGAGCCATCATGACTGACCAGCCCCTGATAATTCTGTTCAATTCAGCAAACACTTCTGTGTCACCCCCTGGTCCCTGTGGGGAGTGGGAATGAAGCAAGCCTGCCCTCAAGAAGCTCCCAGTCAATGGGGCAGCCAGATCTGGGCCCAGCAGCTGAGTGTAAGGCCAGCTGTAAGAAAGGCTAAGATGGAGATGAGATCACACCCTTAGGGAAGGGGAGTGCAGAACAGACTTTGGGGAAAACAGCAATTTCCAAAAGCAGAGATATGGAAGGTGGGAAGAGCAGGAAGCATGAACCCCACTGACCTCTCATGTAGTCCAGGGCCAGAGGGTCACAGACTCCCTGGAATGTATGTTTCATGAGGGCAGCACCTGGAACAGGGCCCAGCACATAATAGGTGCTCAGTTAATACTCAATAAGTAGATGCTCTTTCCCAGACCCCAAGCTGTTTGCCTTAAAGTCCTATTTGAAAGACTGGGAAAGCAAGTCACAAGCAAGACTTGTCCTAGATAAAGTAAAGTGTGAGGAGGGGGTGCAAATCAAGATTTGAGGCATACCTGATGCGGACCTCCAAGGATCAGAGAGGTCCTAGTCCCAGCTCATCCACTAACTTGCCACATGACTTTGGGCAAGTCACCTCACCTTCAGATGCCTCCATTGGAAAAGAATACAAGGGTAAGAGGAGGTGACCCCTGCGGGGGGCCTGTTATTTGGAAAGTGACAGTATTATGACTTTTTTCCTAACTCCCTCCTGTACAGAAACTCAGCCAAGAATGTTTAAAGCAGCTGGCAATCAAGAAGCAGCAGCACGTTGACAACATAACCCAGATAGAAGATGCCACCGAGAAGCTCAAGGCAAGTGGACATTTCTTCCTCGTTCCCATGGAAAGACCCACATTTCCCCCCAGACACAAGGCACCCCCAATATGGAGCCAGTGAAAAATAAAAACCAACTGCGAAGGGGCAGATCGGGTTTGGTGGGGCCTGGAGCTTCTATAATTCAGGGTTCTTTAGAAAAAGAACACAAAATTACAGACAAAATTAGGTGCAAGACCATGATCGGGCCCTGCAAGTGAGGGTCCCTGAGCTCCGGTTTCCTTTGCTTTGTGGCAAATCTCTGGCTCCTTAGTGTCATCTGCCACTCTCTTGAAGTAACTAGCCCATTATCCCAAATTGCCTTAAACAAAGCAAAACACAGCTTAAGGAATATGCAGGTATCTCTTTAATTCCACTGCCATGCTGAAAGAAAGCAAGTAGGGTGTAGATCTGTTCCACAAATAGGTACTTTCTTCACTCTCCTTTCATAATGATGTTTGGATTCTCTGTGGATTTTGAATGGAAAGTTGAGACTGACGTTATTCTAAGTAACCATTTTGACCGTGACAAAGTTGTGTTTTTAGGCCTCAGGGGCTGGTCCCTTCCCCTTGCATCCTCTGTTGCTCCCTCCTCGCAGTGAGGGCTGGGGTGGGAGGCCCTCCTGGGGCCTGTCCCACTGAGAGCTGGAAGAACCCCTGCTCTGCACTTTGGGAGGCCGAGGCTGGAGGATCACTTGAGCCCAGGAGTTCGAGACCAGCCTAGGCAAGATAATGAGACCCCCATCTCTACTGAAAATAAAATAGCCAGGCATGGTAGTGCACGCCTGCAGTCCCAGCTGTTTGAGAGGCTGAGGTGGGAAGATCACTTGAGCCCTGAAGCTTGAGGCTATAGTGACCTAGGATCACGTCACTGCGCTCCAGCCTGAGCAACAGAGCAAGATCCTATCAAAAAAAAAAAAAAGGAACCCCTGACTGATTCACACAAGAGGAGGAGTGGCTCTGACCATGGGAGAAGCTGGTACCCAGTTTCTCCTGTGACCAGGCCAGGCCACAGAATTGGCTCCCACATTTACCTAAAATCCATTCTCTGTTAGGTGTCTTCATGACAGTTTGCCGGTACCCTGAGGACATTTGTGGTTCACACCTGTGGCCCCAGCTTAATCATTAATAGTGTCCCTCATGTCTTCACGAGCAGAACTCTGGGCTTGGAGATAAACAGTACCAAAGGATTTAGAAAGTGAAAGCTGTCACGTTGGAGGGGCTGTGGGGAGGCCTGAAGATCAGGCTCCTTGTCTGCAAATGCCTGAGCAGATATGGTTTGAGGGCCCCCAAGAAAAGAATTAGGACCCATGTGGAGGGTCTAAGGTTTCCCTGGGCCACACTGGAAGAATTGTCTTGGGCCACACGTAAAATACACTAACATTAACGATAGCTGATGAGCTAAAAAAAAAAAAAAAAAAAAAAAAAAATCCCCAGAAAACTCATGATATTTTAAGAAAGTTTACAAATTTGTTCCCACATTCAGAGCTGTCCAAGCTTGGCCTGAGGGATGGCATGGGGTAGGTTTCAGCTTAATCTAAAGAATGGTTCTCTTTCTCTTGACCCTTTCCCCCAACTAACTTTTTAACTTTTTATAGATTTAGAGGAAGTTGCGAAAATAGTAGAGTTTTGTGTACCTTGACCTAGTTTTCCCCAAGGGTTACTTGTTACATAACTATAGCACACTGTCCAAATAAAAAAATGGATGGTATGTGTATATAGTTTTACATCAACTTATCACATGTATAGATTTGCATAACTACTGCTGCAATCAAAATGCAGGCCATTCCATCACAGCCAAGTTCTACCTTCTTCTAGGCCAAGCAAGGTGGCTCACGCCTATAATCCCAGCACTTTGGGAGGCTGAGGCAGGCAGATCATTTGAGGTCAGGAGTTCAAGACCAGCCTGGCCAACATGATGAAATCCCATCTCCACTAAAAAAAATAGCCAGGAATGGTGTTGCCTATAATCCAAGCTACTCAGAAGGCGGAGGTGGGAGGATCACTTGAACCCAGGAGGTGGAGATTGCAGTGAGCCAAGATCACGCCTCTGTACTCCAGCCTGGAAGACAGAGCAAGACTCCATCTAAAAAAAAAAAAAAAAAATCTACCTTCTTCTACACCTTTATGGTCACTTCCCTACCCACTGTCTCCCCCAAGGCAATCCCTAACCCCTGGCAGTTATTAATTTGATAATTGTGGCATTTGAAAATGTCATAAAAAATGGAAAATGACTTTTTGAGGTATTTTTCACTCAGCAGAATGCCCTTGGGATCCACCCAAGTTGTTGTGACAACCACTAGTTCATTCCCATGTATTGCTGAGTAGTAATATTCCATTAATCAGGTAGTATGGATGTATCATAGAGGTTTTTTTTTAACCATTTACATATTGTAGGCCGTCTGGTACAGTCTAGGGCTATTACAAATAAAGCTTCTTTTTTTTTTTTTTTTTTTTTTTTTTTTTTGAGACGGAGTCTCGCTCTGTTGCCCAGGCTGGAGTGCAGTGGCGCGATCTCGGCTCACTGCAAGCTCCGCCTCCCGGGTTCACGCCATTCTCCTGCCTCAGCCTCCCGAGTAGCTGGGACTTACAGGCGCCCACAACCGCGCCTGGCTAATTTTTTGTATTTTTAGTAGAGACGGGGTTTCACCGTGGTCTCGATCTCCTGACCTTGTGATCCGCCCGCCTCGGCCTCCCAAAGTGCTGGGATTACAGGCGTGAGCCACCACGCCCGGCCCAAAGCTTCTTTAAACAGTTGTGTCCAGGTTTCTGTGTGGACGTAAGTTTTCATTTCTCTGTGTTAGATGCCCAGGAGTGCTGTTGCTGGGTCATATGGCACTTGCCTGTTTTTTTTTTTAAGAAACTGCCAAATGCTTTTCTAGAGTAGTTGTGCCATTTTACATTCCCATCAGCAATGCATGAAAGAGTGTTTTTCTGCATCTTTGACAACATTTGGTATTGTCACAAGTTTTTATCTTAACCTGCATAACCTGTGTGTAGTGATACCTTATCATGGTCTTAATTTGCATTCCCCTGGTGGCTAGTGATGTTGAGTATCTATTCATTGCTTGTTTGCCATCTCTACAAAAAATTAAAAAATCATCCAGGTGTAGTGGCACATGCCTGTAGTCCCAGCTACTCAGGAGGCTGAGGTGGGAGGATCGCTTGAGCCCAGTAGGTTGAAGTTGCAGTGAGCTATGACCGTGCCACTACACACCAGCCTGGGTGACAGAGCAAGACCCTGGAAGAGGAAAGAAAGAAAAGAAAAAGAGTTTGTTGGGATTTTGATAGGAATTATGTTAAACCTGTTTATCAATTTGGGGAGAATTGACATTTTTACTATGTTTTCTTCCAATCCATGAACATGGTATATCTTTCCATTTATTTAGATCTTTGTTTTCTTTCATCACCATTTTAAAATTTTCAGCATACAAATTCTGCATGTTTTGTTAGACTTATACCTGAGTGGCCTTCATAAGGTAGTAATAAAAATGGAATTAGTAGTCAGCATTTTAAACCTGAGACATATTTGTATAAAAATTTATATTTAGGAAATTAGAAAGATATTGCCACCCTATGCTTGCACTCTCATGTGGGGGCAGATGGAGCTGAGCAATGGCTACTCCCATGGCATGGGATCTCCCAGCTCCACCCTGCCCACTTCCTTCAGTGTTAACAACGTGGCTCTTGTGAACATTTATATTTCAATTCCTGATAAATAAACAGATTTTTAAAAATTCATCCATAATCCTGCATCCTGCCACTTCAGGCCAACCGTTATTCACATTTTGAGATTTTTTTTTCCTGTATATGCATATGTTTTTAATGTAGCTTGAATCATATTGTACATATAATTATAATATATCCCCAATCTGGAGGTGAGGCATGGTGGTTCATTTTCTTGTGTGGTTTGTCACATGTATTATCGTCTTGTCTCTAGTACGTATTTGCCATAGATGTCCAATACACCATGGATTGTGAGTGTGCCCCTTCAGAGCACTGTGACATGAGCATCTTCAGGGGATGCTATGAGTTTCAGTAGCTCCAGACTCATTTCATATTATTTTTCAGTTTTGAGTTTCCATGAATTTGGACTACAGCCCCGCTTAATGCAAACCTGTTGTTTTATTTGTTTTGCTGGTGATTTTCTTTTCACTTGTGACCCTGGATGGATGACTAGATTCCTTTTCTTTTCCATGGGCCAGTGGGTGGAGTTTTTCTGTTGCCTAGTTGATGGATGGAGCAGCTATTTGTGGTTCTGACTTGATCCAGGTCACTCATTTCCACTCTCAGCTGGAATGTGGCCAGGTACCCTGTGCTCCCCCTGGATGGCCAGGCCCCATTGTGGTGTGGCTTTCATCTGCATGCATGCACCTCTGGCTCCACTCCTTCCAGGTCACTTAGCTTCAGCTCCTGCCAGGTCACTCACACTGTGTTTCCTTTTTGGTTTTGGCACCAGTGAATTTCCTTTGTTTGTTTGTTTGTTTTATTTTGTTTTTGTTTGTTTTTTGAGACGGAGTCTCGAACTGTCGCCAAGGCTGGAGCATGGTGGCATGATCTCAGCTCACTGCAACCTCCGCCTCTTGGGTTCAAGCGATTATCCTGCCTCAGCCTCCTGAATTGCTGGGACTGCCGGTGCCCACCACCATGCCTGGCTAATTTTTGCATTTTTAGTAGAGATGGGGTTTCACTATGTTGGCCAGGCTGGTCTCGAACTCCTGACATCAAGTGATCTGCCCAACTTGGCCTCCCAAAATGCTGTGTTTGTTTTATTTGGCACTTGGTGATATAATTTTAAAATTTGCTCATTTTTATCAGCATTTCTCTGTGTTTGAAGTAGAAAGGGGGATTTTCCATGTCAGCTCCTCCCTTATTAACCAAAACTGTATGTTGCTTTTATATATGGATTTTTGTTGTTTTTTTTCAGGATCATAACACTTTTCTATGTCATTAAAAGTTCTTTTTCAATGTCAGTATTAGAGGCTGTGTATTCCATATATGAATCTCCTGTGATTCATTAAGGTAGTTACCTAATTTTCAGATAGTTTGGTAATTATTTTGGGCACCGTGGTTTATTTCCTTCAGGACACAATCCTAGAAGTGATGCATTTACAATAAGCACAAACGTGTGTAAGTATCCCAATGCCTTCTGTTGAATTGTGGCAGGCGTACTTTGTGGCAGAGAGGTCTGGGGCAACTGTGTGGCTCGGTTCTTATTTACATAGAGGCAATACTAGGGGAAATTCCATTCATTTGCCTACAAATTAATCCATAAACAGGTCTATAAACCCATTAAAATCAATAAAATGTATACATGGTCCAAAGTCTGTTGTTCAGAAGCCAATGACCAGGCCCAACCAGTTGCTTCCAGAGAACAATTAAGGACTTGGCCATTAATTCCCAGCTGACACCCATTAAGTGATTTTCTCTTATATCCTCGTTCATAGGCTGATTACCTCTCCCATCATGCCATCCCAGGTGGTGTCATGGTTTAAATGTTTGTTCCTTCTAAAGCTCCATATTGAAACTTAATCCCCAGTGTGGCAATGTTGAGAGGCGATTGAAGAGGTGACCTTATACCTCATCACCCAATAAAAAGGTCTTAAAGAGTCTTGATTGGGTCATGAGGGTTCTGCCCTCATGAATGGACCAATCCATTCATGGATTAATGGATGAAAGGGTTATCACTGGAGTGGGGCCAGTGTTTTATAAGGAGCAGAAGAGAGACCGGAGCTAGCATGTTAGAGTGCTCAGTCCCCTCACCATGCGATGCCCTGTGCCACCTTGGGGCCCTGCAGAGAGTCTCTGTATTAGGCCATTCTTGCATTGCTATAAAGAAATACCTGAGGCTGGGTAATTTATAAAGAAAAGTGATTGAATTGGCTCACAGTTCCGCAGCTGTACAGGAAGCATGGTGCTGGCATCTGCTCAGCTTCTGAGGAGGCCCCAGGAGGCTTTTACTCATGGTGAAGATGAAGCAAGAGCAGGCACTTCACATGGCAAGAGCAAGAGCAAGAGATGGGGGAGGAGCCACACACTTCTAAACAGCCACATCTTGTGAGAGTTCACTCACCACCAAGAGGACAGCTCTAAGGGGATGGTGTGAAACCATTCATTGAAAGGGAGCAACGGGCCAGATGGCAGAAAGAAGGCTGTCTGCAAAGAGGCAGGGGCTGGAGGCAGAGGTTTCTAAGGTTGTGCTGCTTGAGCTGAATGCTTGCAGACAGGATGCCTGGGTGCAGGTGGACTGTGAGCTGAGTGCTTGTAACAGGATGCTTGAGTGCTAGTGAGCTGTTTGTGGTTGACCCTATTTCTTAGAACATTCACTCCCCACTACTGTTGTTTCTGTTTCTGCTAGTGAAGCCCATTTTTCAATTTTTTTTTTTTTTTTTTTTTTTTTTGAGTCAGAGTCTTGTTTTGTCGCCCAGGCTGGAGTGCAGTGACTCGATCTCAGCTCACTGCAACCGCAACCTCCACCTCCCCGGTTTAAGTGATTCTCAAGCCTCAGCCTCCCAAGTAGCTGGGATTACAGACACCCACTACCACACCCAGCTAATTCTATTCTCTATTCTCTATGTGCAGAAGCTATATACAGAGAATCTTGGAACACAGATCTTCATGCACATGTGAAAGAACTTTCTAGGATACAAGTAAAGTAAGAGGAATTGCTGCATGAAAGAATAAATGTATTTAAAACTTTGAGGCCAGGCGCAGGGGCTCATGCCTATAATTCCAGCACGTTGGGAGGCCAAGGCAGGCAGATCACCTGAGGTCAGGAGTTCAAGACCCAGCCTGGCCAACAGTGACTCTCTGTCTCTGCTAAAAATACAAAAATTAGCTGGGCATGGTGATGGCCACCTGCAGTCCCAGCTACACGGCTGAGGCAGGAGAATCGCTTGTACCCGGGAAGCGGAGGTTGCAGTGAGCCGAGATCTTGCCATTGCACTCCAGCGTGGGCGACAAGAGCAAAACATCATCTCAAAAAAAAAAAAAAAATTGATACCTATTGTCATATTGCCCTCTAAAAGCAAAGTACCAATAGACCTTACCACCCACAGTTTATATAAATGCCCTACTTCACATATCCTTACAGACTGTATTTCAATCTTTTAAAAGTCTTTCAATCTAATGATCAAAAACTATTTTCTGGGCTGGGCATGGTGGCTCATGCCTGTAATCCCAGCACTTTGGGAGTCAGGAAGGTGGATCACCTGAGGTCAGAAGTTCGAGACCAGCCTGACCAACATAGTGAAACTCCGTCTCTACTAAAAATAAAAAATTACCCATGTGTGGTGGTACGTGCTTGTAATCCCAGCTACTCAGGAGGCTGAGGCAGGAGAATTGCTTGAACCTGGGAGGCAGAGGTTGCTGTGAGCCAAGATCGCGCCACTGCACTCCAGCCTAGACAAGAGTGAAACTCCTTCTCAAAAAAAAAAAATAAATAAATAAATAAATAAAAATTGTTTTGTATTTCATCTAATTGATTTATTCTTTGGGCTCTATGTACAGTGTTTTAGTTTAACTGGACCTTCTCTTTTTGTTTGTTTTCTTTAACCTTTTATTGTGGAAAATCTCATATTATTTTAATTGTTTTTATTTTTATATTTTTAGTACAAAAAATGCAAAAATTTATTCTAAAATGCCACTGTTACACCACACATACATACACACATTTCCATATATAATTTGAGTTCTTTTAAAAGCTCTTTATTTTGTGCTTTTGACCTCTTATCTATGCTTGAGCCACATGGTTTTAGATCCTGTAGATTTATCATTTGTTTTGTTATAAGATACGGCAGATAACCTGTTATCAGGTTTCTCTTTATTGATTTTTTTAAAGCAATGTTGGCTTTTCTTATGCTTATTGTGTCTCCTAATGATTTAATAATTTTTAATCAGCATGTTAAGATTTTGATTGGAATTTCATCAAATTTATAGACTAATTTAGAGACAAATAATGACTTTATAGTAATGAACCCTCCCAGTCACGAATATGGTTTTGTATTAGGTTTATTTCTACAAATTTTGCTATTTTTTCTCTCATTTACAAAAGGATCTTTATTTCTCCGTGCATTTTACTATTGGTGATGGCTGGTGCTTAGGAAAGCTTTGGTTTTTATAAGTTGATCTTGTATCTGGCCACTTTGCTGAATTCACATTTCAGATGTTATAATTTTTTTCATGTTGATTATTCTGGATTTCCTGGTTGGCAGACATGTCATCTGCAACTGGTTTTTCTGTTTTCAGGTTAATGCAGAATCAAGTAAAACCTGGCTGAAGGGGAAATTCACTGAACTCAGATTACTACTTGATGAAGAGGAAGCTCTGGCCAAGAAATTCATTGATAAAAACACGCAGCTTGCACTCCAGGTGTACGGGGAACAAGCTGACTCTTGCAGAGAGCAACTTGACGTCGTGAACGATCTCTCCAACAGGGTCTGGAGTATCAGCCAGGAGCCTGATCCTGTCCAGAGGCTTCAGGTAATGCTGGGGTCACTGCTCTTACAGTGGCCACCTGCCACCCACACTTCATCTCAGGTATTGTGGCATTGAGCACAGTATTGACACACTAAGCAAGTACATGGAATACTGTCTTGTCACCATGTAGACTGTCTTGCCCCCACACAAGTGGTCAAGAGAATATACATTGTTAGGAAGAGAATACACATCTTGGGCTAATTAAATAATGTTAACAGCCACCAATTTCAAAGGCCTCTGTGTTCTGAGCACTGTGTAGCTTAGCACTAATATTCACCAGAACTCTGCAAAGTGGGCCCACCCATTTTATAAACAAAAAATTGAGGCTCATTGACATAACTCACCCGGTCTCACACAGCTGGTAGGTGGCAGAGCTGGTATCAGGTCTGGCTGTCTGTCTAGGTCTGTCTGACTCTAAACCCACAAGGCACCTTGACTGGCCCTCTGCCTATGTAGTCTTTTTTTTTTTTTTTTTTTGAGATGGAGTTTCTCTCTTGTTGCCCAGGCCAGAGTGCAATGGTGCGATCTCGGCTCACCACAACCTCCGCCTCCTGGGTTCAAGCAATTTTCCTGGCTAGCCTCCCAAGTAGCTGGGATTACAGGCATGTGCCACCATGCCTGGCTAATTTTGTATTTTTAGTAGAGACGGGGTTTCACCATGTTGGTCAGGCTGGTCTTGAACTCCTGACCTCAGGTGATCTGCCCACCTCGGCCTCTCAAAGTGCTAGCCCCTGCTATACTCATTGCTACATTTAGGGAAAGCATGTTGTTGAGGATGGTGTTCCTGTCTTTAGGGAAACATGGAAGAAACTCTTGTCTGGTGTCAATATCCCTGTGCAGTCACTTCTGCACTAGAATTGCTTTTCCACTAATAGAGCTCCTCCTGTTCTCTTCTTTGCCTTGGAAAGTTCAGAGCCAAATCTGCCTTGACTAACCAGACTAAGGCTTCATGGCAAACACTTTGTGTCTAATTTTCTCTTTGCTTCATTTTTTCTCGCTATAAAGAAAAATCTTGCCTTATTAGAGGACCTTTGCAAGACACTTTAAAGGCTGTGGGACAAGGCTAAAAAGTTGCACCGACTCTAACCACAGATTGGTATGGGCTCTGGCTGGAAAATCAGACAGAGAAATAAGCTAGTCAACAAAACCAGCCAAGCCAGTCCCCAGGTGGGGATTTCCACTCTTGTGTCTTTATGTGGCCTCAGTCGGTTCGGCCTGTGTCTCATTGTCAGCTGTTTCAGCCAAACTCTATACGAGGTGCTTTCCTAGGCATAATGGGTATTGTGCTTTAAGAGGGGCAAGATGCACAAAGTGATACATTTAATTGTCTTTTTTTAAATAATGGTCGTTTTTAAGGCTTTGGAATACAAAGGAATCCTTCCATGGGGAAGCATGCTATTCTCACATCAGAAAACGGCTTCAGGGCTTTGTCATCTTTTTTTTTTTCAAATTTTCTTGTGCCAAAGCTACTGATTTTAATCATTCACCATTCCTACCTTCTATGTGTTGATTCGTTTATTCATCAATACATACTGAGCCAGGACGTTAGGAGCTCACAGTTGGGTGGGGAGACTTGCTCAGAAACAGTTATTTATAATACAGCTTAAACAATTTTGTAAATATGAAGCCAGCAAAATTATGTCCAAGAAATGTCTGACACTCTCTAGCTGGGAGAAGGATGCAGTCTGGGAGGACTTCTAGGAAGAGGTGATGGTAGGGCTGGGTGCTGGACAATGAGTAGGAGCACACTGTATGTAGAGAGGATGGAGAGAGGACAGACAGGAACAGTGTACATGTGAGAGCTTGACAGGCTGGGGAACCAGTTGGGGTGCAGCCTGGCTTGAGGAGGGGTGGGTGGATTGAGAGACACAGCTGGATCCATAGGCCGTAGTTAGTTCATGAAGGCCTTATGTGCCATAGAGTTCAGACTTTGTCCTGTAATGAGATAGCAGACGGGAATGTATGTTTGTTTGTTTGTTTGTTTGTTTGTTTGTTTTTGAGACAGGGTCTCACTCTGTTGCCCAGGCTAGAATACAGTGGCTCATTCTCAGCTCACTGCAACATTTGCCTCCCAGGTTCAAGGAATTCTCCTGCCTCTGCCCCTTGAAGAGCTGGGACTATAGGCATGTGCCACCATGCCCGGCTAATTTTTGTATTTTTAATAGAGATGGGGTTTCACCATGTTGGCCAGGCTGGTCTCAAACTCTTGACCTCAAGTGATCCACCCACCTTGGCCTCCCAAAGTGCTGGGTTTACAGGCGTGAGCCGCCCACGCCCAACCCAGGGGAGTGTTTTGCACTGAGGGATGAAAGCGTTCACATGGTCAGATTAGTGCTTTAGAAAAGTCACTTTAGAGACAGAGTGGAAGATGGACAGGGGAGGCCAGGATGGGAGACTGGAAGGAAACTTGGGAGGAGGCCACAATGTCCAGGAGAGAGATGATGGTGGCCTGGACCAAGACAGGGGCAGTGGGGATGGGGAGAAACAGGCAGGTCAAGAGATGCCACAGGAATGGAGATTGGAATTGGAGAATGAGTAGGGGGAATCCTGAGATGATGCCTGGGTTTCTGGCCTGAGAGATGAAGGGCTGGGGTTTCTGTTCTCTGAGTCTGCAAAGGCAAAATGTAGCTGTGCTCGGTTTCATGCATTTATTTATTCCATCATACATATGTTTTGAGAACCTGTGTGTCAGGCCTGGTGCTAGCCACTGGAGTTTGGGGTTACCAGGTGGTGCCATGTGTCCTCTTATCGACCCCTCATCCTACCCTACTCATCTGCCCTCTGAGCCCCCTCTCACCTCCTCAGAGCTGCTCCCTGCCCACCCTGGACTTCCTGCTAGTGCTCGGTCTCCCCCGGCCAGCTCCATTCCAGCTCTCTGGGTGTGATGTTAGGCCTGGTTCCCCACCAAAATGAGGTTGGACTCTAGACTCCTGGCCTCCTAGGCTGAATGGGGCTTGGAGGCCATCTCACAGCCTCCTCCCAATGTACAGCATGCTGCCAGGTGGGGCCTGCCCCTGCCCAACAGCGGAGTGCTAGGCCACCCTCCCTCCCTCCTGAGGCCCCCGTCTGTCCACCCCTTCTCGGATGGGCAGCACTGCCACTGCCAGCCAAGCCTGATCACCTGAGGCAGTCAGCTTCCTTCCAACTCCTGGCCAGGACAGCCCTTCAGAAAGTGCAGCCATGGTTCTTACCTGCAAACATGAGAATCCACTGGAACGGTTTTAAGCAAGAAAGGAGTTTATGGAAGAGTATGAGGTAGCCCATAGGATCTCCAGGAGGGTCAGAGAGTCGGGATGGAAGATGGGCAGCAGGAATGAAGTCCAGGGGTTGTTGCCAGTATAGGCCCCACAGCACCTCTGCTGGGCAAGACATCACCACTCACACCACTGACCAGAACCCCCACCACTGCTGTCCCTGAGCGCCTCATGCCACCATCACTACCTTCACCCTCATTTCCAAATCCACGCTTTGGCTTGGAGGCATCTGGTCACACTCCTACAGCACAGGTGCAAAGGCAGCTGGGGGGGGGGCGGTTTCTAGCTTCTCCTTAGTGAAGCCACACACCACAGGAAGGTATTGAAGAGGGGCTGTCCAGACCCAAAACAGGACACATGTCCCTTGCAGTGGCCACACCCCCTCAGTCAGCACTGCAGCTGAACCTTGCTGGTCTTTGGCGTCATTCTTAGAACATGGTTTCCTGCTCCACCTTTGAATAAGCTCCAGGGGCTCCTTCCCCAGGGAGACTGACCTCTCACTCTTTTTGTACCCGAGGCAGACCCGTGGTGCGGTGTGTGTGAGGCTGAAGCCTCTCTGGGAAGGGCCCCATGTCAGCCTGACCCCGCCCTCTGCCCACATAGCTGGCACAGAATAGGCCTCAATGAACACGGAAGGAAGGAAGGAAAGGAGGGAGGGAGGGAGGGAGAGGGAGGACTCCCCAGTGCCAGCCCTGAGAAACCACACCTCCGCATGGCTCCCACCTCAGGGATGCTGTGTGGTCTCTCCAGGGCTCTGCTCCTGGGGGCATGGCCTGGGCTGACCACAGGTGCCAGGCCAAGGTGGAGCCTGGGCATGGTGGTGTGGGTTTGTTCCTGGGTGCAGCACAGGAGGCTGGGATGCTGCCTGCATCTCCCAGAGCCACCCTCACCCCCGTGTGCCCACACAGGCATACACAGCCACCAAGCAGGAGATGCAGCGGCAGATGAGCCTTGGGGAGCTGTGCCACCCTGTGCCCCTCTCCTTTGAGCCCGTCAAGAGCTTCTTTAAGGGCCTCGTGGAAGCCGTGCAGAGTACATTACAGACGCCATTGGACATTCGCCTTAAGGAAAGTAAGTCACCGAGTGACCAACTTTGTGTCCTTAACTCCCCTAGTGCCCTTTAGCCCAGAGGCAAATGCAAAGATCATCTCCCTACATCCTGTCTCTCCGACACTGAGGCCCTTGGCTGGGCGGTCAGGGGCTCCTGGGCCTGGTGCCTAACCCACCCTCACCACTTCACCTCCAACCCTTCCTGAGACCGAGACCTGCCCTTCTCCAGTCACACTGCCCTGCTTCTGCCCCTCAGATCGCTCCTGGGAGCCTGCCACATCTCAGCCTTGCTCTGGGCTCCCAGCTGGAATGACCAACTCTTCTTCCTCCTCTTCCTCTGGCTGGGGCCAAGGCCTGGCATCCCTTCAAGGCAGACTGGCACAGCTGCGCCCACCTGGGAAGCCCTTTCCTGCCAGCCCAGCCCTGACTCACTCCCTTCTTTGGCCATCTCACCTCTCCCTTCCTGCTCCAGGGCCTGCCCATGTCCTGCTGGAGGGTGCTCATGAAGTGGACACATGGACCCCTCCTTGCCCCTTGTAAGCACGTGAAGGGTAGGAACCAGCTTTAGGTCCAACTCGGAGGTCCCCGCAGGGCCTGGCACAAACCATGTGCTCAAAAATATCTGTTCTTTGATTCATTTATGCGTTCGTTCATTCATTCATTCATTCATTCATTCATTCATTCACCTCTGCTGTCATGATTCATTCAGAACATTTATCAAGCCACTCTTATGTGCCAGGCATAGCAGGGCACAACACAAAGCTCCTTGTCATCTTTTGGTGCTCACAGTCTTTGTAGGGGAAGACAGACAGTACACAAACATGTCAGGTGACAGGAACTGCTATAAAGAATAATAAAGACTGGGTGTGGTGGCTCACGCCTGTAATCCCAGCACTTTGGGAGGCCGAGGTGGGTGGATCATGAGATCAGGAGTTCGAGACCAGCCTGGCCAACATGGTGAAACCCCATCTCTACTACAAATACAAAAATTAGACAGGCGTGGTGGCGTGCACCTGTAATCCCAGCTACTCCGGAAGCTGAGGCAGGAGAACTGCTTGAACCCGGGAGGCAGAGGTTGCAGAGAACTGAGATCATGCCACTGCAAATCAACCTGGGTGACAGAGCAAGACTCCGTCTCGAAAATAATAATAATAATAATAAACCAGGGCAGGATGCAAGACAGGAAAGTGACAAGGAGGAGGAGCTGTTTTATATAAGCAGTTGGGAAGGCCTCTGAGAAGGGGACACTCAAACTGGCCCAAAGGAAGCGTTCATTCTGCAGGTTCTGTGGCTCTGAAGGGCCAGAGAGCACAGTGGTCATAGGCACGGCCTCTGGAGCTCGGCCTCCTGGGTTCCTATCCCAGGTCTACCACATGGAACCCTAATGAACCCTGCCACCTTAGACACGGCACCTTCCTTTTCCATGCCTCTGTTTCTGCATCTGTAAAGTGGAGACCATAATGCAGTCGCCTTCCTGGGCCACTGTGAGGATTAAATGAGCTCTTACACATGTAGCGCTCAGGCGTAATAAGCACCATGTACGTCTTGGCGATTGTGATTGTTGCTGCTGTTACATGTGGGGGAGGCATTCTAGACAGAGGGAAAAGCAAGGGTGGAGGTCCTGAGGTGTGATGGGAGTGAGCTGGCCATATCGAAGGAGCAGCAATGGAGACAATGGGGACAACGAGAGCGGATGTGGGGTCACAGGGGAGAGAGGAAAGAGATCAGAATCCAAGGATTTTGACGTGGGCCACTCGCAGAAGGAAACTGTCATTTTCTGAAGTGAGAAAGAGCATTTAGGACTGGAGGGAATGAAGTATTTGAACCTGTGAGATTTGAGAAGTTGGACTCCCAGGTGGTGGTATCGCCTAGGCAGTAGGACCTATGATTCTAGAGTTCGGGGGAGAGGGGAGAGGCTTTTGCCTTGATGAAAGAACAACTTCAGCCAAATTAAATTTAAAGGAGTTTAAATGAGCAATGAACGATTCTTGAATCCGGCTGCCTTCTGAGCCACAGTGCGCTCAGACTCCAGCACAGCCACATGGTGGAAGATTTAGGGACAGAAAAAGGAAAGCGACGTACAGAAAACAGAAGTGAGGTACAGAAACAGCTGGATTGTTTACAGCTCGGCGTTCGCCTAATTTGAACATAATTTGAACAGTTGGCTACATCTGATTGGCCAAAACTTGGTGATTGGCACAAGTGCAGGCTACGGTCTGTTTACACCTCCACTTGTTATTGTTCACGATGTACAGAAAAATCTTCAGGCCGAACTTAAAAGATGTAGTAAGGAGGAGCTTTAGGCAAACTTGATTTAAACAGCCTGCAGGTGGGCTTCCCTGCTGTCTACAGGCCCCTGTGATGAGCGCTGGGAGTGATGGGGGCAGAAGGCACTTCTGGGGAGGTGCTGAGTGAGCTCCAGCCCCAACAGCTGAGAAGGAGGCAACCTGGACAAGGGGGGAAGGGTGTGGGGGGTGCTGTCCAGGCAGAGGGCACAGCAAGTGCCAAGGGCCCTGGGTGCCCCTGCTATGCCTGCTTGTTGGGATAGCCTCCCCTCCTTCCTTCTTTCTGAGCACTCAGACCTTCCTGAGGACTCAGCTCTACTCTCTTGTTTTCCATCTTTACCCTGGAATTTGCACGTCTTCCCTGAGTCACCGCCCATCCTTGAGTGCTGGATCCAGTAGTTGTTCGCTTCTCAGCTCCTCCTCCTGTTTAGGGCTCTCCCACACCAGCCTCCTCATCCTGGGGTTTTCCTGTCCCTGTAAATTTACATAAATCCCTTAAATCTGTGTGGCTCTTGGGCGAGATTATGCGAATCGCCAGTTGTGTGGTATTTTTAGCATGTCTTATTTGTCTGCTTGCAAGAGCTCCAGGCGCTCATTTCTCAACAATTCCTTACAGGCATGAACTGCCAGCTCTTGGACCCTTCCAGCACCAAGCCAGGTACCTTGTTGAAAACCAGCCCCTCACCAGAGCGATCACTCTTCCTAAAATGTAAGACCCCCGGGAGTGGGGATAGGGTGGAGATGGTGGAGATGGTGGGATGTTGGGTGGAGAAGGATCATGGAAATGGAGGTCCCTCTTTTTTTCTCATTAGAATTTGTTTTTTTTTTTTAAGAATTTGTTTTTTTAAAAAATGTTTATTATTAAAGACAAGTAAAATAATACATGTTCATTGTAGAAAAATGAGAAAAGAAAAGAAAAAATTACTCATAATCCCTCTTCTGTGAATAACTGCTGTTATTATTTGTCCTTTTAGCTTTCTTTAGCACATATAATATGCATATAATGATAGATTTAATATATCTTTTTATTTTACAAACGTGGTGTCATACTATACATTCTGTTTTGTCATCTGTTTTCATTTACTAATATATTATGAACATTTTTATTCTCTTAAAAAATTGTACAGGTAGGGCCAGGCCTGGTGGCTCACACCTGTAATCCCAGCACTTTGGGAGGCCAAGGCAGGCAGACAGCTTGAGCCCAGAAGTTTGAGACCGGCCTGGGCAACATGAGGAAACTCTATCTCTACAAAAAATACAAAAATTAGTTGGGCATGGCGATGTGCTCCTGTAGTCCCAGCTACTTAGGAGGCTGAGGTGGGAGGATCACTTGAGCCCTGGAGGCAGAGGTTGCGGTGAGCATGCTACTGCATTCCAGCCTGGGTGGCAGAGTGAGACCCTGTCTCAATTGAAAAAAAAAAAATTATACAGGTAATGCATGCTTATTGTAGAAAATCAGCAATTACAAATATGTAAAAACAATGGCCCCTCCCAAAGAACGCTGTTAATATTTTAACATATATTCTTTCAGATATGTGTGCAGATTTTTTTTTTTTTTTTTTTTTTTTTTTTTTTTTTTTTTTTTTGAGAGGGAGTCTGGCTCTGTCGCCCAGGCTGGAGTGCAGTGGCCGGATCTCAGCTCACTGCAAGCTCCGCCTCCCGGGTTTACGCCATTCTCCTGCCTCAGCCTCCCGAGTAGCTGGGACTACAGGCGCCCGCCACCTCGCCCGGCTAGTTTTTTTTTGTATTTTTTAGTAGAGATGGGGTTTCACCATGTTAGCCAGGATGGTCTTGATCTCCTGACCTCGTGATCCGCCCGTCTCGGCCTCCCAAAGTGCTGGGATTACAGGCTTGAGCCACCGCGCCCGGCTGTGTGCAGATTTTTTTAATGGGACCGTATTATAGATATTCTTTGTAATTTTTTAATTAACAGTATAGCTTGAACAATTTTTAAAATTTCCCACCCTACACTGATGTGACAATTTTCTATATCAATAAATATATAACTTTGTTTTTTGAGGCAGGGTCTCACTCTGTCACCTAGGCTGGAGTGTGGTGGCACAACTATGGCTCCCTGCAGCCTCGACCTCCGGAACTCTAGTGATCCTTCCACCTCAGCCTCCCACATAGCTGGGAACACGGATGTTTGCCACCAAGCCTGGCTAACTTTTAAATTTTTTGTAGAGACGGAGGTCTCCCATGTTGCCCGTGCTAGTCTTGAACTCCTGGGCTTAAGTGATCCTCCCACCTCAACCTCTCAAATTTTGGGATTACAGACATGAGCCACTGTGCCCAGCTAATACTATCACTGTGTGTATGTGTGTGACAGAGTCTTACTCTGGAGTGCAGTGGTGCAGTTATGGCTCGCTGCAGCCTCGACCTCTTGGGCTTAAGTGATTTTCCCACCTCAGCCTCCTGTGGGGAAAAGAAAGAGATCAGCCTGTTACTGTGTCTATATAGAAAGAAGTAGACATAAGAGACTCCATTTTGTTCTGTATTTGAGATGCTGTTAGTCTGTGACCCTACCCCCAACCTTGTCCTTGCGAGAGACATGTGCTGTGGTAACTCAAGGTTTAATGGATTTTGGGCGTGCAGGGTGTGACTTTGTTCCTAGAAAAGCTAGGTATTGTCCAAGGTTTATCCCCATGTGATAGGATGAAACAACGTTGCTAAAAGGTTTATCTCAAGGCACGGGATTTTCCTTTAAACTTATTCATGTCACAGAGATCCTTGTTCTTATGTCTTACTGCTAATTTCCTCCCTAAAAATGATCCTATTGTCCTGCCACTCCCTTATCTTTAAGATGGTAAAGATAATTATCTATAAATACTAAGGGAACTCAGAGGCCGGTGCCGGCGTGGGTCCTCTGTAAGCTGAGCGCCGGTCCCCTGGGCCCCGCTTTTCTTTCTCTATACTTTGTCTCTGTGTCTTATTTCTTTTCTCAAGTCTCTCGTTCCACCTAACGAGAAACACCCACAGGTGTGGAGGGGCAGGCCACCCCTTCATCTGGTGCCCAACGTGGAAGCTTTTCTCTAAGGTGAAGGTACGCTGGAGCGTGGTCATTGAGGACAAGTCGACGAGAGACTCCCGAGTACGTCTACAGTCAGCCTTGCGGTAAGCTTGTGCGCTCGGAAGAACCTAGGGTAACAATGGGGCAAACTAAGAGTAAATATGCCTCTTATCGCAGCTTTATTAAAATTCTCTTAAAAAGAGGGGGAGTTAAAGTCTCTACCAAAAATCTAATTACACTATTTCAAACAATAGAGCAGTTTTGTCCATGGTTTCCGGAACAGGGAACTTTAGATCTAAAAGATTGGGAAAAAATTGGCAGAGAATTAAAACAAGCAAGCAGGGAAGGTAAAATCATTCCGCTCACAGTATGGAATGATTGGGTCATTATTAAAGTAGCTTTAGAACCGTTGCAAACAGAAGAAGATAGCGTTCCAATTTCTGATGTCCCTAAAAGCTGTGCAGTAGATTGTGAAAAAGAGGCAGGGATAGAATCCCGGAAAGGAAAGGAAAGTTCACACTGTGAATGTGTATCAGAGCCGGCTATGGCTCGGTCAACGCAAAATGTTGACGATAATCAATTACAGGAGGTAGTATATCCTGAAACGTTAAAATTAGAAGAAAAAAATCCAGAATTAGCAGAGCCATCAGAGTCTAAACCACGATGGCCAACTCCTCTTCCAGCAGCTCAAATGCCTGTAACTTACAACCTCAAATGCAGGTTAAACAAGTACAAACTCCAAAAGAAGATCAAATAGAAAAAGATAGAGTTTCTGTCATGGCAATGCCATTCCAAATGCAGTGTCCACAATATCAGCCGGTAGAAGATAAGACCCAGCCGCCAGTAGCCTATCAATACTGGCCGCCAGCCGAACTGCAGTATCGGTTGCCCCCAGAAAATCCGTGTGGACAGCCAGGAACATTTCTAGCGCCACAGGGCAGGGCGCCATATCCTCAGCCGCCCACCATGAGACTTAATCCTACAGCACCGCCTAGTACACAGGGTAGTGCGTTACATAAAATTATTGATGAGGCAAGAAAACAAGGAGATATTGAGGCGTGGCAATTCCCAGTAATATTAGAAGCAAGACCACCTGGAGAAGGGGCCCAAGAGGGAGAGCTTCCCGTAGCTGAAGCCAGATATAAGTCTTTTTCTATAAAAATGCTAAAAGAAATGAAAGAAGGAGTAAAACAGTATGGACCCAACTCTCCTTACATGAGAACATTATTAGATTCCATTGCTCATGGACATAGACTCATTCCTTATGATTGGGAGATTCTGGCAAAATCCTCACTCTCACCCTCTCAGTTTTTACAATTTAAGACTTGGTGGATTGATGGGGCACAAGTACAGGTCCGAAAAAATAGGACTGCCAATCCTCCAATTGACATAGATGCAGATCAACTATTAGGAATAGGTCAAAATTGGAGCACTGTTGACCAACAAGTAATAATGCCAAATGAGGCCATTGAGCAAATCAGGGCTATCTGCCTTAGGGCCTGGGAGAAAATCCAAGACCCAGGAACCGCCTGCCCCTCCTTTAATACAATAAGACAAGGCTCTAAAGAGCCCTACCCTGATTTTGTAGCAAGACTTCAAGATGCTGCTCAAAAGTCAATTACCGATGAGAATGCCCGTAAGGTCATAGTGGAGTTGATGGCATATGAAAACGCCAATCCTGATTGTCAATCAGCCATTAAGCCATTAAAAGGAAGGGTTCCCGCAGGATCAGATGTAATCTCAGAGTACGTTAAGGCCTGCGATGGAATTGGAGGAGCTATGCATAAAGCTATGCTTATGGCTCAAGCAATCACAGGAGTTGCTTTAGGAGGACAGGTTAGAACATTTGGGGGAAGATGTTATAATTGTGGTCAAATTGGTCATCTAAAAAAGAATTGCCTAGTCTCAAATAAACAAAATGTAACTACTCAAGCTACTACAAGAACAGATAAAGAGCCACCTGGCCTATGTCCAAGATGTAAAAAGGGAAAACATTGGGGTAATCAATGTCGTTCTAAATTTGATAAAAATGGGCAACCACTGTCGGGAAACGAGAGGAGGGGCCAGCCTCAGGCCCCGCAACAAACTGGGGCATTCCAAATTCAGCCCTTTGTTCCTCAGGGTTTCAGGAACAACAACCCCCACTGCCACAAGTGTCTCAGGGAATAAGCCAGTTATCACAATACAGCAATTATCCCCCGCCACAAACGGCAGTGCAGCAGTAGATTTATGCACCATACAAGCAGTCTCTCTGCTTCCAGGGGAGCCTCCACAAAAAATCCCCACAGGGGTATATGGCCCATTGCCTGAGGGGACTGTAGGACTAATCTTAGGAAGATCAAGTTTAAATCTAAAAGGAGTTCAAATTCATACTGGTGTGGTTGATTCAGACTTTAAAGGCGAAATTCAATTGGTTATTAGTTCCTCAATTCCTTGGAGTGCCAGTCCAGGAGACAGGATTGCTCAATTATTACTCCTACCTTATATTAAAGTTGGAAACAGTGAGATAAAAAGAACAGGAGGGTTCGGAAGCACTGATCCGACAGGAAAGGCTGCATATTGGGCAAATCTGGTCTCTGAGAGCAGACCTGTGTGTAAGGCCATTATTCAAGGAAAACAGTTTGAAGGGTTAGTAGACACTGGAGCAGATATCTCTGTCATTGCTTTAAATCAATGGCCAAAAAATTGGCCTAAACAAA